CAAATGAAGAGAGTTTTAAAAGAAGAAGTTTGTTTGAGACACTTTCGAAAGCCTTACTAAAATCGAAGTAAATAATTATCACTGACTGACCAACATCTCTTCTCTGGGTAATTCGATCAAAAAATTCCAGGGGCGATGTGAAACCTGAGCGTTTAGTCATGAACCCGTGTTGAGATGGGCTAATCAGACTAGCCGAAAGTAAAAATGATAATAGATGTTTGTGAATGATTTTTTTCATGGTTCTTGAGAGCACGGATGTTAAATTAATTGGCCTATGGTCAACAATATCACTACGTGATCTTGAATCTAAGGGTGATAAGAGATGTTTTCCATACAGATGTATAGATCCCATATTTCATAGATAGGTTGAAAAGTTCCAAACAAAATAGTGGGAGTTCTCTACTACCATATTTCACAAATGATGAGGAGATGAGGTCCACCATCATGAGACTTTTTTAGGGCAGCAATGGTCTACTTGATTTTGAAGGGTATAAAATCAATTTTTGATAGTTGTCTGGATGTCGGCATTGGAAATGTGTTCATAATGTTTTCAGTTCCAGTTTTGCAGCATTGCGAGAAGTGTTTGTTGGATTGTTCGCGAATAATAATAGGCTCATCAACATTGCTTCCCTTACCCATAAAGAATTTAGTCGTGAGATGAGAATTTGAATTCACATGAGATTTAGAAAGCCGAAGTATTGATAATTCTGGGCTTTTATTACGTAGGGCTTTATTTTCTATATTCATAAAACACTTGCGTTTAGATGAAGCATTACTGTCGATCAAGTTAAGCATACTCTGAAGTGTATACACGTCATTGTGCTCGTAGTAGCGTTGTGTTAATTTCCTAAGCCTTCTTTTAGAAGTTCTAAAAGTATTCAGGCCCCTATTAGCATTATAAGCCGCATATCCAGTAACTGGAGCAGCGGAGTCAAGGCAATATTTCAGGTTGTGGTGTAGATTGGAAAGCGCAATGTCAACATTATTTGTGGCAAAATAAGTTTCCTATGGTAAACATTGAATGAGGGTTTCAGTCCGTCTCCAGGTTCTTCGATCGAAATGTCTGCTCTCGTACATCATTGAAGCTTTAGTGTTCAGTTGTATGGCATTTAAAGAATGAATAATACTAAATACAACTCTATGATCACTCATAAAAAACTCATGACTGGTATGCACTGATACTGAGTCTATGTTGATTGTAAGCAAGAAATCAAGTATATTATTCCCCCTAGTCGGCTTTCGGACCTCTTGAACTTGTAATGGCATTGGACCATAACCACACAATCCTCAAAGCTGAACACGAGACAACCTGGAAAATAGATATTCAATACTTAACGCGGAGAAATACCTACTGCTGCAGAAGGCGGGAACTATGGGCTGAATGAGTTGGGGTTGGTCGAATGGCATGACTCGGCCTTGCAGGCGTGGACCATAATTCTACATACCCGTCCCCTGCTGAAGTGATGTCCGGACGGAGCATCTGAACGAGATTCAACGCCATGTTACCACCTAAACCATTAGATGGACGCAGAGAATATCAGAATATCCATAATTTTAACATGAGCGATAAAGTGTTCGTCGAGCCATGCATTGAGAAAAATCGTCAGGAATCGAGAGTCATAGGAAAGAGAATGGTAAATGTTTTGTACAAAGCGCGTGGAACTTTTGACACATGGATTAGCAAATACACAGAGAAGAACGGACGCTAAACCCGGTAGGTAGTCGAGTTAATCTTTGGCTGGAGATAATTACAGATATTCCAATAACAGGATTCCTAACAGACGCTCATAGACGCTGGATACCAATAGAGTCCAAACGCTGTAGAAAACTAGTTATCAAATTTACGGTAGACACGAAGAAGAGATCTTATTTTTCAAAAGAGTGAGGTGTTGGGGATCCAGAAAACTCTTCGATAAAAGCCGAAAATGCTCTGAAAACATTGAGAAGCTTATTATCCAATCAGCATTCATTAGAAGTTTCGCCAGAAACATCTATGAAGTGAAAAGTCATATGTCAAGTTTTTGATTGGATGATTACCTATACTGCCACCACGTTTAGTGGAGTTCTAGAATTTCCCGGAATCCCCAGGCCACCTGGAACATTATAAAAACCCTAGATTTTCTGCATATAAGCGAACTTTTGGAGTAAAGCGTTTATTCTGTATTCAGTCCCTTTTTTCTTGTGTTCAAGTTGCTGTGTAGATCTAGCCCGGGGTTACTAGAAGAGCTTAGGAACCGAATCTACCATTCAGTTAGAAGACTTATCAGATACCTAACCAAAACTTGCTTGTATCAGTTACCTGCCTTTGTCTATTTACGTCGACTAAGAGCAATAATTGCTAATGGTTGATGTTTTAAAGAGTCTAACACTGAAGCATGTAGACGTTAATAAAGCTCGTTACATAATCACCATAACTAATCCGCTCGTGAGTGGTCAGTTATTGGTATTGTTCGAGCCAGTAAACTACGAGTATTAATCAATATCAAAATACAATACGCATGAGCATTATTCAACAGATGAATATAAAAATGGTTCAACATAAGAAAGAATCAATCGGTAAAGTAGAAGTGAAAATGAGGATTTACAGCAAGTTGTGTTCCTTTGGTCGGTCCCACCGATATGGAATATTTATCTGTTTCGAAATAAGTATATTTACATTTGTTCGTATAATGATAGACTAAATCCTAAAGTAATAGATTACTCATGATATGAAGAATAACATTATTCGAATGCTTAAACATAAAAACTACTACTAAGCAGGATATAAAAGGACTAGCGACAACACATATGAGCAGTTCAAACAAGCAAGGAACAGATGCACAAAGACTGTGAGAAAAGACAGATCTCAGTATCGCATAAACCTGGTCGACAAACTAATCAACAACGAGATCTGCTAATTCCATCGTGTAGCCTCTATTCGACAACTTGAAACCAGAGTTTCCTAATTGTTGGGTCCCAATGACCAAACCTATAAAGACAGTGGCGCCGCCGACATTCCGACAGAACAACACTTTCAGACATTTGAACCGTCTCATACTAACCACGTCGACGAGAGCACCACTCGCATCTCATCAAGACTCTCAGAAGTAGACCTGAGCGCCGACCTCATGAATAAGAAACCGCAATACCTAGACAAGGACACATCACCCGGATCAGATAAGGTTCACTCTACTACACTGAGAGATTTGACTTCAATCTCTAGCAACACCTCTACTCATGGTGTTCTAACGTTTGCTAAGTCGAGGCACATTACCAGGAAATTGGAAGCTGACTCACATTACACCAATTCTCAAAGAATATTGACGCAGGGAGCCTTCAACCTACCACGTGGCACCACTTTTCTCAATATCCTCAAAAATTATAGTGTCTAAAATGCGACGTTTCACGTGACTACATACCACTCACTAACTTCTTTTCATAGCAACAGCACAGTTTCAGAAAAGGTCACTCTTGTATAACCAACATGGTGACTGGGGTGGACAGATGGACAACCATCCTTGATCGCAAGGGGAAGCTTGATGTCACATAGTCTGACTTCTCTGAAGCTTTCGATATGGCCAATTATACATGTCTTATCGATAAGCCCAAATAATTAGGTATCAAGTCATTGTTAATTGATTAGCTTGCTTCATATTTCAATAATTGACATTTTGAGGTCAGGGTAATTTTCACTTTTTCTCAGGCTACAGAATGAGCCTGTGGGTTCCTTCAGATTTAGTGCTAGGATCTTTTCTTCTTTTTATTGATATATATGACCCCCCTCGACAAGTATCTTCCGATTCATTACTCTCGTTGATGATGTGGAACTGTGGAAATATGCAACCAGGAGGAAAAGCTGGCACTGCAGAAGGATCTGATTTGACTTCAAAGTGTAAGGCAGTTCATCTGAAATATGTTGGCGTCTTACGATCTGAAGTCTCACGCTAATCGTGACAAAAATGTCTCCCATGCAAACCTTTCATTGGTAACACTGGAGCGCATTTTTGACCAATCCGATGGAAGGACTTTCACATAATCTTCATTAGTTTTATTCGTTCACATTTAGAATATGGAGATGTAGTATTTTATCCCTCACTCCAGAAGGATAAGGACACTCTGGAACATAACCGACGTGAGCTACAAAATCGGTTCGAGGACTCAAATTCAAGTGTTATGAAGGGGACTTTCAATCACTGAATCTTTACTCATTAGAGTACAGGGCTCTTAGAGATGGCCTTTTAATGACTTAAAACCTCCTAAACACGTTTGGGCATCCCCTTAAACACCTACTTAAGCTTAGTTACGACATACACCTTAGGGGTAACAACCAGAAACTGGAAACAACACAACAGAACGGAGTGCATGCACATCTTCTACTCCTCGAGGCCTGTAAAATTCCGGAATACTCTGCTGGGTTAGCTGGTGCAAGCCACTTTCCAGTAGTCCTTAAGAGAGTACGTGATATATTCTGAAGGCTCACCAGTGTAGATCACCAACGTAGACGATCCATGTCGAAATGATTGGAGGCCTACTCGAGTTAGACGTGAATATTGTGACAAACTAGCTAATGTCGAAGTCAAACCTCGTGGTCAGCACCTTACGTGGACTACCCCCATTGATGTATCAAGGTACCATAGATGCTTTGAAGACTACAACACAGAGGACGTTATTACAGAAATATATTAGTTAAGGTAGATACAAACGAAAGTAAGACCACTGCCGCATGGGCCAGTCCATGGCATACGATTAACTAATGTGCGTTGGTTGTACATGACCTTGGCAGGGAGCGATGATCTGTTCGACATTCAGTGATCCAACTGCCGGATGATTTGGCTAGGGCTCAGTGACATTTCACTGGCCCTACAGGACAATATCTCACCATAATCTAATATTTCCTTCTTTTATCGTTAAATATACCTAGGTTCCTATCTCGCAGCACTGGTGATCCACTGTTATTAGATACGGAAGCTCATTAAGCAAAAGTTTCTTCTATGCGGTGCAGAACCATTCGAGACAATTATTGGATATCGGACGGGCGGACGGTTTGGATATCGTTTGTTTTTTGATGGATGATGTACTTAAGCAGTTGGAAGATGCAGCTACTGCACAACTGGTAACATTTCGAGTCTATTATATTTTCAATAAAAGCTGTCGGTAAAGTCGGAAGATCGCAAACGAGCAGAAGAGAAGATTTTACAGTTCCGTTCATGCTCTGAGCCTTACGAAATCTGCACTGTTATTTTAAGTGAGTTGTTTATTAGTTATGAGTGTGCCTAACATGTTTAAGCGTATTTTATTGACATGAGTAGTCTTAGCGTACATACTCCGCCCAAATTTTGGTTCACAGTATCATAGAACGTCTTGGTCAACCTGATTGAATGCCCTTCTAAGGTCAGAAATTACATCCATAATGATCACCGGTAGGTAGGTCCGGATTCCAGAACTGAAGAACGGTTTACGTATTCACGTCCAGATCTGGAGACAACCTGGTCCTCCTGGGTTCGCTCTCCACAAGCCCTAGTCAAGTAGTGGAGGACAATTTAATTTGTTCCTCGAAATACCGCTTTGTTTTAGTGACCTCATATGGGGGCAAAACTCTCGGTAATGGTTACGTGAACCAGTGCTTTCAACTCCATCGCCAAACAGATCCTGGTAACTCTTCCATCATCAAGTGGGTTTTTGATTAGTGTGACAAGTTTTGAGATTTCTGTCATTATACAGTACCTATGAAGTATGTGGGTAATATGAATATTTAAGTACTAAGAAGCAAGTCGTTCATATAATCATGCCATGATAACTTTAAGAATATTTAATTTTTCATATCTTAGTTTCTCGCCTTTTTTTATTCCTTCACAATAATAATACGATTCCTTGCTCTGGTGCTTTTGTTCTATCAATCAAATGCGTTTATTCTTAAACCAATGAGCCAGTGTTATTAGTATAAATATGACTGTCGGAATTCGTATTCGCTTTTCGAATTTTTAAAGCTCGTTCAAATAATGATTGTCTGCTATATGAAGCTGGTCGATGTCTGTCCCATGCAGTGGTTAGAGAATGGAATTCTGTTTTCGCTTCGTCATTTGAAAGTGTAGACGGCTGTAAAGCACTGCAGCTTCTAACTTTCATCTTGGAATGGTCACAAAGTCGTGGATTCGAGGTAATTTCTTTAAATTTTTATACACCTCATACATCTGTGTATTTCAACGTTAATACACTCAATTTGTCAGTGCCATTGTTGGTCGAATCTTGTTCGCTTGTAAGATATCTATACTTTAGCCTTGTCGCTGAATGGTTCCGTAGTGGTACTCGGCCTTCAATCCGTAGGTTAGGTTTAAACTGTACTACACCTACTTTGGTCATGGTAGAGTAGTGTGAATATCCTTCACATAGACTGTACTTGGTATATCCCCTTTAACACTTCGGTTTCGCCCGTTTATTAGCGGTTAGGGCGTTCGACTTTTAGCCACGAAGTCTCATGTTCTTATTCCGCCCCACCTATTCATAGTATTCTAGAAGCAATAAATTAGAAATTAACTGCTGACCGGGATTGAAGCTCAACCCATCAGGCTATCTTAAGTCATTCATTTTCAAAGTAACTAAACTCTGGGTTCCCAGGAAGTTTACGAAGTTGGCAAAAAGAAAAGCAGATGTCCAGCGATTTACCAGGTCGGTGGATATATAGCTGATGTCAGTTCGTGATGAAAACAGTAAATTTAATTCCCAAACCTAACATTCAGTTGTAAATCCTAATCCTAGTTTCTCAAACTAATATATAACTCATTTAACCCTGGTAAGTATGTGGGAATCCCAAGGTCATGGGTTGTCCATAAATTATAGTCTTACCAAAAAGGTCCTTTGAGTATTAATTGAATGTAGGGGAACCGTCAAGTGAGTGATGTTGAAGCTAGACGTTAAGTTTATGGTGAATGACGTTGTTCTTTGTCTACTGACGTGCTTGCGCCATATGTCACGCGTATTCAATCAATATGCTATGTTGCGTAGCTTATGAATAGCGTTGAAAGGTGAGTGGTAAATAAGCGGTCACTGCATAAGTCACTGACTACTAGTGCGAAATCGGTGGCAGTGGTTCATATTCAAATTCCTCTTAGCTTGTAAATCAGTATCATTCTACACTTTGATTTCCTTCGATCCCATTCGTCTTTCTGAAAATGCTTCTTACCCTTAGTTTTAAAATACAATGCATATCTCTATCATATCTTCTCTGATTTTGATGTTGCTGACTCCTGCCTTGTTAATGTGTGGTGTGCGAACGTGAACCGAAACATCTATGAAAAGTCCTAGCTCAAAAGAAATAATGGTATCTTATCGATAATTTCAAGGGACGAATGTTACCGATATGGTCTATTTTGTGTCTATCATCAATTACAATGTCTTGTTAATGCCTTAAATTGGTACTTGCTTAAAATAGGTGGTTTTATGAAGACGGTTGTGTTGGTCTCCAATGTATTTCTTGGGTTGGAGTTTCAAAGACGCCACTCAATTATCTTTAAGCTCAACTTATTTAGTCATGACTGTGTTTCTAGTCCTTTTAGGAATATTAAAAAGCTTTTAATTGAACCAGTCTCTTATTTTATTCAGACTATTCTTAGTGAAAGTCTAGATGAAGAATATAAACATATTGTGTGCATGCTACTTATGTTGAAGGTAGTAGTATGTAACGACAATCAGAACTGGAATGCCTGGCAGCAGAAGATTGAAAAGATCGAATTGGAGAGTACAGGAATGTAAACAGAGAGTAATTGTAATAACAACAGGACTGAATGAACCACGAAGTTTGTAAGAGATAACTGATGCCAGATGTGCAAATGAAGTGTTCAGTATATGGTTTTCATATTTTGCGAAAACTGTAATGTTGCATTCAAAGATAAATTTGTTTCCCCCCACCTGAGTTACCGTTCACTACAATATAACGGTGTATCTATATGTATCTGTTTGTAATACTAAGTGTGCTCTTATTCTTGCTTTCATGGTACAATAATGACGAAATGTCTTTTTCAGTGCGGTCCTGCTGCTCGTCAGCGAATTTTAAGCGCTGCTGGAGCACTCGTTAAAAGAGCTTCAGCAGCCCATGCCGAAAAACTTGCGGCTGCCTGGAGATCTACAAAGGTTGATGAAAATGTCATTCATACAACTAGCCTAGGATCTCGAATACTTACCACACCACCAGATGATCCAGGACCTGCTTGTTGGTTATTGATTAAGTTGATTGAACACATCGAAGAGTTAATCCAGCCGCTTACACAATCAGACTTATCTGGCATAAATAACGATCAAGTATGTGGATTTCAAATAATTTGGTTTGTTTTTATGAAATTTGTTTTCTTATACGATTTCAGTTAGTTAATTTTATGGCTTATTACAATCAAATGACAGTTCCATCTTTGTAAGCATAAGAATTAAAATGTTTTTACATTAAAAAATTCTGTCAAATTTTGTACGGAGTAGTCGTCGTCTGTTTGTTCAATTCATCTGATTTTTTCTCACGTTGTCTAGATTTTTAGCCGGCAGCGTGTGTGTGTGTTTAACTATTCGCTTTTTTAAAAAACAATATCTCAAAGGTAGACAGAGGCGGAATCAAAAGAATCTTGCTTTCTATGGAGATTCAGAGTGAATCTGTTTGTTATATCGGAAGTTACTTAATGTCTAAGGTGTTCGGCTTCCAGCCACTCAGTCCCAGTTTCTAATTACACCCTACCTAATTCGGTTTATGAAACCGTGTAGTATTTTTAACCCTCACATTTGGAGTGTGGTCCATACCCCAAGTACTTAATTTCGATTCGATTTCTATCATCGGTTTATCCTAGTTTTTAAACCAATAAATAAGTCCATCACAAAATAAAAGTATTTAACTTTCTTAGATTGGATCTCTGCTAATATTTTTTTCTTGAAGCGGTACACGACCATTAAAAATACAAAGAATCTGTGATTACAATCGCATCAGTTGATAAGGTATTCTCGCCCAGAAATGCAAACGTTTGTGGAGTTTCTGACTCCATTTCCAACGCTTTTTAGGTAAATGGAATCATCTCGTCACTTACCTAATTCTGTTAATTTAAGTTAAACTCCGACACACTATCATTGATGCGTCAATTCTTAATGTAGTTGATGTTAAAGTTACCCTATTTTGAATTTAGAAAAACCATTTTATGATCATCTGTCAATTAAGAGGTTGTTATTTAAGTTCACTGAAACTACAAAATGGCCTGTCAGTCGGGGTTCATGTGACTAGTATATTGCATTCCTATATTAATAATTCTCATCCTTTTGCATCATACTTTTCCTTTGTTATGGATTTTGAATTCAACCCTCTTTTTAGGAACCTATTTTTAAACGAGGATTATTAGGTCTGTTTATATTGTCTGCATTATTGGATGAATTTTCCTACTCCGAAGACAGTGCACAGTTGAATATGCCATTGGAAGCACATGTTTTCCTTCGAGCTAGATTTCAGGTATACCAATTTTTTTCTGTCAACAAACATTTTAAAAAAGTTTAGTCATTGTTCTTTTGGGAAAAATTTCTATTCATATGAATTCTATTTGCTGCTTATAAAATAAATCAAATTGCATGTTATTGATAATTTTGATGAATAGAGATCCTGGAGTGTCTAGTTCACCAATTGATTGTAGACCCTAACCACTAAAACTATGCTGTATATTGTAATAGGTCAACTGTTTTGAAAGTATCTATGTCTTTGTGTATTAGTCTATTTTGTTTAAAGATGGTTTGTTGATGAATATACTGGAATTGTATTCGCCTTAGTTTCAAATTATTCATAATTGAGCTTTTATTTCCAAGTGACTGGATCCAGGACCTCAGTTTACCCAACCATCTTTTTTACTTTGAATCTATATGTTTATCTATAGTAATTCGAGCTTCTTTAAAACACCGAATGTTGAAATGTGTTTATGCTGGTATTTCTATTTATAATTTTTCATTAGGAATGTACATCTCGTTCGATAAACAACGGCAGGACAAGTGGTCCCTCTTCATTACTGGATTAATATCTATCGGCAATGTCATTCCATGTCGTAGAACTGGTCTAATTGTTGTTTAGTGTAAAGAAAAATAGAGCGAAAAATATTTTTCAATTAGTTTCTCATGATGACTTCACACTCTATATATAATGACATGATAATACTAATTGCGAAATATTGTTATATAATAGCGTTACAGTTTCACAAGTGATTATGGTAGTAATTTAAAATGATTAACTAAGTAACTGAAAGAGGTAGGGTGAGACAATCATAATAATTCAAGTAATTAGTCGTGATAGTTGTAAACATGTAGATCAGCGGTTGTCAGATTGTATTGTATATAATACGATAATCAACAACACACTTTGATGAAAATTGAATTTAATAGTAGTTACGTGAAAATAAAGATACAAAAATTAGAATTTTGTAGGAACACAAAAGTAAAAACATTTGACAAAGTAGTTTTATTCACTCAATGATAGACTTGTAAGCCCTATATAACTGGTTCCACAGGCCCTACTGATTTAATAAACATATAAAGATGTGGCGAATTCAGTCATTCTTTGTTGTTAGTACTCATCATCATCGGACAGTTGTAGAAAATGGTATTCACTTTGACTGGTTGACCAAAGGACAGCTAATAAAGATAACTGAGAGTTCTATTGTCGCTCACTCGGTGGATATTGAATATCGAGTTGACTTGAATAAAGCTAGTAAAGTTATCCACTGTATTCCATCAAGTTTATCACTTGCTTTACGAGTTCCTCTTTTACAGACCACTGAAGTTATCGCATTCTAACCCTGTTCTTCACTGTTTAATCTTTCTTACTATTATTGATTCTAGTACTATTTCGACTCTTCTACTATTCATTTTCTTATCCTGCCGCGGTTTAGGAACTTGAACTGACGCACATTTGTTCTAGATTGTATGTCAATTATGACCAACTGAATATCGTTAAGATTCGTAATAAGTGTAACCCTGTTTTATGCAAACTTTCACATATTTACTGATTCGTACAGCAAGTAAACTCCGTTCTATACATAGCTGATAGATTTAATTGTATATTCAGTTTCGTTTTTCCCTGTAAACAATTGTTCAGTCTCACTTGTGTATATGTAATTATTGTTTTACCCTGTACTTTTTACCATCAGGACTATGAACTAGTACGATTATTTAAAAATTTACTTTGCTTAGCAAATCAACTGTTAGTTTATTGGTCATCACTGGACTGTTCAGCATTAAGTCAAGGACAAAGTGAAGTTGTATTCAGAGTAATAAGTTGCCTGGATATGATTACAGGTTGGGATTTCTTACCACGTGAACGTGAGTTTATTGTGCTATATTAATTTTAGATTTTATAACTATTCAGAATAACGTGTAATATATGTATACGGTAGTATTGTAATTAAAGTTACCCCATTTATTACATGTCAGTCAGTCATCTATGATTAGAGTAGCTTGGATGATGGGTCAGAAAAGATTAGTGAAAAATATATACGTATACTAACAACATGTCCTGTGTTGAATCTGCTTTAAGAATCAAATATCCGTCAGTCAGTCAGCTACAACGTAGGACCAGGCACATATATACATCGGTCCAAGTTGCCATACCTCGTTAGCACAACAAAGTGAACACTGGATTCATAGAAGTAGTTAATTCAGTGGTGGTAATATATAAAAGAGACATTGCGCATGATGACATAGTACAAAAAGAAAGAACTAGTTCGTAGAAAGATATGAAACGATTTTAATCTCATAGTTTAAAGGAAGACAGAGCGTGTATACACCTACGCCATTGTGATTGATTCTGAGCCATGTCACTCAGAGTCTCCAAGCATTGGTTACGATAGTCACGCGGACCCCAACCAAGTAGTCTGCATCTCCCGACATGGCTCAGACTAGAATTTAGTGACTTTGTGGGCTGATGCCACGTTTTGGTTTGGCCACCCCTAACTTTCTTCCAACCGTCTCCAACACTAGTCAGCATTGCGCGTCGTGGTAATCGGTTGTTGGGCATGTGTAGTATGTGGCTCAACCATTTCAGTTGATGAAGATTCACAACCTCATCAACTGATTTACCATCATTCCCTTATACCCTGCGTCTAACCCCACTATTACTTACCCTGTGATATCAGCAGATGCCAGTAATATTTCTAAGACATCTGTGAATCAAGTATGTCACAAAATCTATCATAAACTCTAATTATCGAAACTGGCATTGAAAGATTTCATAAATTTGCATTGTGTCTTACTCTAATTTTAATAAAATTTCTCACACATTATACTACTGCAGTCTTAATTGTTATTTACAATGTTTCAAAACAACTTTACTCTTATAGGATTTATAACCCATCCTAACGACTAGTTTGTCTCTAAACTTCAGAGTTCGATCAAAATTAGGAATCATAACATCTAGTTGCTATTTAACACAAACTCCAGAGTTAATGAACTTCACATGTCAATATTTGTTTATCTAACACATTTTATCTACTCAATATTTTCCTCACAATTTCTAGTTTTCAGCATAAATTCCTAACTTTCTTGTTTACTCCAAAATTTCCTAATATGTAGGCGTACAAAACTTATGACTTCCAAGTTCCTTAGAAATTTTCACAAATTTTTGTACTCATCTCACATATTTCCAGGTTCTCAAGTATTTTCTTTATGCGTTTTCTATTTTTTTTTCTCTCAGTTATTCGTTTTCATGCCAGTCAATTAAGACGTTCTGATCAAGAAGCTCGTTTTCGTCCTAGTGACAAATGGAGTGATACGATGGGAACAGATGCCTTTCCGAGAACTTTATTACTATTTATTAAAGTAGGTAAACCGTTTTACTATGCTGAATAATATTCTGTAAGATTTACTTACTTTGCTCTCGTCATATGACGAAATTAAGCTTACACTTTATACGTACATATTCAGCAATTTTCCCATGGACATAAAAACATTTATTGTTCTGTCACATTCTCACTTCATAGTTTATCTATTTTTTCCCCAAGTGAATTTCCTATCAACGTGAAAGTTAAAATAATCCATTGTGTCAGTGAATAAAAATAAAGAGAATTCAACAAAGAGAGTTTTATTTTCGACGAAATCATTTTCTTCACTGAGTTCTCCTTATTTTTATTCAACGTGAAAGTGTTCATTACAATTTTCATCCATTGGGATCTGTCGACAATAAATGTAATTTGGTAACATTTTAGGCTTGTATACTGAGATATATTAGTATCTAGGTTACTTGTGGAGAGGTTTTTAGTTTAGTTGTCATCATGACCTTGATACATCCTCACTATGAAATCCTCTATGTGTGTTCTCATTTCTTAAAACTCACCCCTTCCTCCCAATAAAAGATCAAAGTTCCAAATCTTTAACTCAGCACTAGTTCCATATATATATGACTGTCCTATAAGTTTAATTCATGAATAGTAGTAGTGGTAGTAGTAATTCATTGTCTTATTTTCAGAACAAGTGTTTACAAGTAAATCTTCACCGTTCATTTTTCTATTTTATTGAGGATGCAGATGTTAATGACTACTTAATATAGTGATTTGATTAATGAAAATATTTATGCATATTCTTTGCTGAACGAATGGCAGGTCATTATAACCAAATAAGTAAAAAAGCCTGAAAATCTTCTATGGTAATTCATTAGCATACTGGATACCTCTTCGACATTTCAAATGATGTATATTGAAATACTGTAACAATAAGGACATCCATTCTACTCTGTAGATTGTAAAAAACCCTCAAAAGACTGACTTGTGTGGTGTGGACTTGTTTTTTGGTCAGATCTTGTGCGTATTGATTACATATCTACTCTCCACTAAATGCAGGCCGACATATGTCGTCCCAGGAGCTTCGACACTGAGACTGAATGAAAAAAGCAAAGACGCGGTCATTTTATGATATGGTGCTGTATTATGAAGGGAAGTTGTATGAGAATAGGATCTGTCGTTTCATTATGACTCCCCAGTTGAGGTCTTAGAGATAGTGAAACTTCAGTTGCTTGAAGCGTTATTAGATGTGGCTCGAAGTTGGAAACTGGCGGCTATCTTTCTGTACTGTATCTTTAACTGATCTGTATCTCTTAATGAGTGTTACTCCTATTCATTTGTTTACTGACTTTACTGCTGTTTTCTCTTTTACTCTTTCACAGTGTTATCTGTTTATTTGCATGGTGTATTTTTCGAGAGCTCTTGGATCAATCAGGAGTGATCCAAAGGACTAGTGCCTATCATTGGCTAAGAAATGGATTGATATATATATATATATATATATATATATATATATATATATATATATATATATATATATATATATATATATATGAGTATTTGTGCATATTATTCGATAGTCCAGTATGCCTTCTCATCCTCTCTTGTGTTCTCGCTCAAGTGGTCAGTGGTGTGTGGCGGGGGATTAGCGTTTAGCACATTGTATATCAATATCAGATTTCGGACACCCCTCATCATGACAGTTCAATTTTACCAGAATGTATAATGATTTAAACAAATAAATGGATATGTGGACACAATTTGACAAACAATTAACACTTAACTTATGACTCACAAGTTGAATACTGAACTCCACTATTAGTAACTAAATTAAAAAAGTTGTTACGCTTGTTTTTGAGTAACTTTTTTACCTAACGCACATCATTGTCTATTTATGCTATTCTACTTGGTTAATTCTTATACTTTCTCATTAGTTACACACATGGGTTCGCGGTTCAGATCTGCTTGGTGCACGAACATTGTCATGTTTAGTTCGATTCTCTTTAATGTCTGGCCCTCTGATTTATCCGATTTCTTCATTAACTTGTATAAATAATAATTCATCTTACCACAATGGAATTTCTTCATCAAATTATAATGAAAATCAATCACTGGGTTCACCAAGTACAATGCATTACCTAATACTGATTGAAAATTTAAATTGTTGGTTAGGAAAAGAAATACCTATGGATGATCCCATACAACTATCATTCGAGTCGCTCACAGATCAAATACCAGGAATACGTAATGAAATATCTAATCGAATAGCAGATAGTCGTTCAATTCCAAGTATAACATTAGAAAATTTATTACCATATGAGTTATCTATCTTATCTGAATTCATTCTTAATTTAATGTTGAATAGTTCACGTGCATGGGAACCTGTTGAACGAGTTTTATCATTGCCTAAATTCAGCTCACAAGAATCATTATCCAGTGAAATATGCCAGTCTATGTTTCATATTGGTTTAATTAGTTTATGGGTGATGGATAAATTCTTTGCTTTTCTTTCTTCCCTATTAATACAGGTTAGTTTTTCTATGTATTATAGTTTTTTATTTATTTATTATTAACAAGTTACTTGCCTTCTATTTGTGTGTATACGAATAAAGATAAATTGGTAGGATAAAATTTAATTTCTTGAGGTGCAGTAATAAAAAATATTCTCAAATAAGGAAACACAAGGAGAGCTCTTTTATTTTTTCAACTTTACTAATGGTAAATAATGTGAGCCCTTGATTTTCTCCAAAGTAATAAAATAACCATTACATCATTTATCTGATATCTGGTTCAGTTATTAGTATAACCCAACGTTATTGTTATCTTTACTAATAGTACTGTGGTGAACAAGAACACGAGTGAAGACAATCGAATGTATTTGAGCACAAAGTTACAAAACATCTCACTCAAAACTGAGAGCCATATAGTAAATAGTTAATTTGCAAAATATCAATCCATCGTCTCAAACTTCACTGTCCCTTTGCAAATATCAATCCATTGTCTCAGATTTCATTGTTCATGCATTTTTGTACCGATTACGTTCCGTTTCCGTTCTTTCCTTATCGATCTTTTGCTGAAATACATTCTATGCCTGACCACCGTTATATACTACTGATATGGATATAAGTAACCCACACCACAGTATCACTTAAATTTGTCATCCTAAGCGAATCAACAAGATACTGATTTTTAAGTTGTGGTACAACTGTCCCATTGTAATGTCTTATTATACATGAGGCTTGGACCAACCATATAGTTCAGTTTGGTGAATAATAATTTACTAGTTACTGGCAATTAATTTGAAGACAGAAAAATTGTTGCTCCTACTATTGATGATATCATTTCTGGAGTTGCTTCGAAAAATCTGTCTTAAATTACCAATGAGTTCAGTCTTTTTAATTGCTCAGTATTTAAAACTTTTTAAAATGATTTGTTTCTACAATTGTCCACTTGATAATCTTTATTTATATATTGCTACTTACCATTTGTCTTCCAGTGTATACGAATACAGACAGAATGTTCCACAGATGGAGATGATAATGGTCAGTTAGCTCATGAAGCTGTTGAACGTCTATTCAACTGTTGGAGTGATCTTCTTGATTTAATCCCATCATCGTTAAGTGAACAGGCACGATCTCAAAAAAATCACAATCTAACAACAATTGGTTCTACTGATGAAGATAATTCACCGTTGCCTTTAACTACTGGACAAGTACAAAACTCTGGTAATTCTTACAGTGTTTATGTTATCTAGTTATACATCGTTTCGTTTTGATTGAATTTGATGTATTTTGGTTGTATTTCCAGTTTAAGCCATGTCTCGTGATAGTATATGAAATAAAGATGATTGAAATAGCGAAACCTGGGGGGGGATAGGTTGTTGAAATCAAACTCGCGATTTTCTGCTTTATTGATATTGTGGTTGAAAATCGAATCACTCGACGGACTACAGTTTTAATAAGTATACATTTTTTGATGGTATAGATGTCTCAATATCTTACCATTTAGGTATGGTCAAACGGATAATGGGTACATCAAGCTGTAATAATGTAACCAATGTAAACAAGACAATTATACAGTTACTCATAAGCAATATACCTAAGCAACACAAATCTGACATTGTGTAGTGTGGTTAGCTTTTCCATCTTGCTTAATTCATACAAGAAGTTTGTCGTCTGGCCATATATTGTACATATCCAAACTATTTTAATTGTAACTGGATTTCTGTCTCTAAGTTTACTGGCTATTTATTCGTCTAACTACAATAAAAAACGAGTAGCGCTCCCAAGATATCGGTGACACAAAACACTTTATGTAGTTTTCTAAATGTAGATACTTTAGGTTTAAGAACAAGAATATATTACTTTATTGTTTTCAAACTTTCAACCGCCACGTTGGAAGTTTGAATGAGAGAAGTAAATTGTTTGTCTACGTGTAATATGTTTTCTCAAATTTTCAACAATATCTGTTTTCCTTTCATTTGTTTTACATATTTGACTATAGACCAGTTGGCTCAGAAAATGAAAAAGCTGCTTGGATTGTTAAGAAGTAGTAATTCATCACGACAATCACAATTATTCCAATTTTTCCTTGCATCCAAAATGGCTCAACCGGTTGGTTTACGTCGAACTTGCAGTCATGATAATAATGAAGAGATAGATCTTGAATTGGATGAAGATGATATGACTTCTTCAGAGGTAGTTGGTTTGAATCTCGGTGTTAGCATTTTATTCTCTTTGAGGATAGTTTTTTTAGAGTTGATTAATCATTGAAGTTCTATAGGAGTTGTCTTAATCTATTTAACAACCATGTTTCATCAATACATATCTAGTTATCCTTTCAAGACTAACCAAACAAAATATTTTCATTGCTTGGTGTTCACGTTAGCAAACTCTTTCCGAATTCTGAAATTGATCCTAATACAAGTTTTAACGATTATTACAGTGATAAGTCCTAATAAAGTGAACTAACTGTTTAGTATACAATAATTTATATTGATTATCCAAATACTGCTGGTTTATAACAGAAACAATCACCAATCCATTACGAGTACATATATATTCAACAAATTAACCTTTTAACCTTCTACATTTTTTTGTAAAATGTGATTCTCGATTAAATGGATGAACTTGAGTACTTGTGTTACTGAATTATAGCAGTAGTTGTTAACTGTTAAATTGCTAGTTTATTGTTTTGCATTATCTCAGTCAACTAGTCAGTCAGTCGTACACAACATAAAACCTGACACATTAGTACATCGGTTAAAGTTGTTGTAACCGAATTAACACAACGGACTAAAGTTTTTTCGAAATAAGTCCCAGAGCAATAAGAATTGCAAGAATATTAGTAATGTTAGAGGAGATCAGGTAAAGAAAAAAGAAAAAAAGTATGAGGAAATCTCGGGATTCAAGTGTTTTTTTGCCTTCCTATTTTCCCTTTCCATTCAGAGTACCAAGTTATGGCTTGCCTCATGATGCGACTTGATGAATTCCTCAATATATGTCCTATACACCTCTATCGTCTTTTTCTAAGTTCCTCTTCATCTGGAAGTTGGTTTGTTCTCTCCCACATTAGGCTGTTCCTCATGCTGTCTATTCAACTGACATCCAGTATATAAATAAATTTATAAATACTTATGCCTTTTTGATGGTGGTTATGGTAGTTCACCAAGTTTCAGATCCATACAGTAGAACTGTCTTGACGTTCGTATTGAAGATTGTGACTTTGATGTTGGTTGACAGTTGTTTTGAGTTCTATGTGTTGTTCAACCGTAGGAATGCTGTCCTTGCTTTGTTAATCTTCGCCTTTACGTCTGTATCGGATCCTCTACTTTCATCTATGATGCTACCCAGATACGCGAAACTATCCACCTCTTTCAGTGTTTCTTCATCAAATGTGACTGGGTTGGTGTTCTTGGTGTTGTATTTAAGGATCTTAGCTTTTCCATTGTGTATATTGAGGCCTACTAATGCAGAGGCTGCTTCTACACTAGTTGTTTTCATCTGCATTTGTTCGTTGGTATAAAGTTCAAATACTCTTTTAGTGGCCCGTGGATCTGACTCCAAGGAGATTGTAATGAATGTTTGTTATCGCCTATCCTCGTATGTAATCATCGAATTAAATCGCGTTAGTCAATAACGGCGGGATTAAATAAGTCAAATAACGAGAATGGACTTGTGAATACATATAATTGTGTATATGAAGCGAAATGAATAGAGTGAGGAGAAACGACTCAGAGTGGAGATGGCTGGTAAGCCAACTCCCCTTTAACCAAGTGTTAATCAATGTTTGTAGTTACACAAAGTAAGTTACAGACATGTGGTGAGTATTGGGATGAAAGTGTTCATACACCCACGCGCTCATATAAAGACAGTCAAGATTGATAAACGAATAATTGACAAGGTCAAAATATGACTCAAGTCGAATGAATAGAATGGGCTGTCCGAAACCTAGAATAAGGTATATAGGCTTAACATAATAACCGACACGACACTCTAGGTACATCTAAGTTGTCAATTGTTTTCCGTGCTCCCCTTCAGATGTAGAGGTCTTCATGATACAGTCAACCGCCAGAAGAAAGAAAAGGGGGGAGAGTAGGCAGCCTTGTTTGACTTCGGTTCTATCATGTATATTAATTATTATCCTATATTATATTTGTGTACATTTTCATTCATTTTATTCAGGATAGTTTATTCGCTGTAGGATCTTGTGGTTTATCTACTCCTGAAGAATCAGTCACTACACTTGTTCGTTTAATAAATGAACGTGTTACCCAATTGATTCAGTTACAAAGCTGTGAATCTTTAAAATCATTTGATTTATTCGAAGATATTCATTGGTTATTATTGATTAGTGGACATTTTCTTGTCTCTGGTCCTGCATCACTAACAAGTGTTCTACGAATGGGTTCTCCATGGGATACACAATTCTCAGTAAGTGTGTTAGCAGTTTTCATCATTATTACTATATACTATATAGTATTAATTAAATTATGAAATTCGATTCAAGTACATTTATTAAGTCTGACTTTGTAAAATGTCTAAAAATACCTTATTCATATTTCCTTTTTACTAACAAATTGGTTTAACTAATCCTACCCGGTTTCTAACTTTTAAGTTGGTTAATAATATTGAATTGAATTCCAATTTATATCAATTATTAATCTGTACAAGATTTACTTAAGATCAGTATAGGGTTGTGGAGATTATTAAGTTTTTGGTTGAGATCATGAACTGATTGGTGTCAGACCACCATTAAAAACCTGGAAGCACTGGACAACCGTTTCGTCCTATCGTGGAGCTCCTCAGCCGTGCGCATTCACGATTCTGCCCGCTGGATTCGAACCCAGGACCTTCAGTCTCGCGCGCGAACGCATAGCCTCTAAGATATAGATACGCTTGATAGAACTATCAAACTTTACCTACTTGACATATATATCGTATTTTATGTATAAACAATTGATATTCTCTTGTTTATTTATTTTCTTTCATTTAATTTTGTTCAGATACCTCATCAAATTTTATATCTTGGTTCTAATGATACAGTTGATGTGATAAACGGTCGTCGTTTAATATTAATGTCTATTGCACAATGTCCTGATATGAATAGTAGTTGGCCTCCAGACAATTTACCATATACACATATTCCTTCTTTAATAATGTATGTCACATTTGTGTTTTTTTTTCATAAATACTTTTATTTTGAAAGAAAGAAAAGGACATTTTTATTATTTCTCACTGGATGTTTAACGAATTTTTTAAACAGTTGGTGTTGGAATCAAAGAAATTAACAATACAATTTAGGAAACCAAGTTATCTTAAACATATATATGCTTGTCCCCCCCTTCAAGCCAAACAAGTTGGTGAAGCCTAGTAGGCCCTTATGGAGAGAAACAGGCCACATCGAAGCACGGCACAACTACCGGGGCTAGAATAGCTGTTTTTGCAACCAGTTAGAGTTTGCCCCGTAAGGAGCAACCCCATACATTACTTGCATGACTTTTGTCAATTTTTTGTCGTTTCTCCATCCAAGAGTAATTATGCTGTGTTTCTTTGTGGAGTTCGTAATCAGTTTGGGGGTATCGGTTGAGTGGGTGATTAGCCTGATCTCTATCACCCGGGTTACCGCTCACGTTAGTTCATGGGTCATCCGTTCTACGATCCAGGAGGCACGACACGGACGTATGAGCCGGATTTTGCTTCCCATATATGCTTACTTATGCATATTCATTCACTTATGTTATTAATCATATAAGTGATTTAATTACTTTAAAAAATATTTCCTCATTCCATGAATTCATATTTGCTTTTAAAATCATCTCTTCTGTGCTCTGATCGTTTCTACTATCACTAATACTATTACTGCTCAGATCACTTTGACATCTTGATGTTTTGATACAATGCGGCAACTTGAATCGACGCACATATATCTCAGCTTCTACGTTCTTTATGTTTAGCTGACATAATATTCTCTAATTTTCTTTTATAATAGAGTATTATTACATCACAGCAGCAGTAAACAAAGATTGTACAATGGTTTCATCTATCCATTTATAGCTGTCATATTGGCTAGAAATTCTCACATAGTTATCAGCTTGTAAATTCAGTAGCTCTGAAATGATATCCAATCTAAATTTAATTGATAGAATACTTAAGATCTTGCCATTATTACCTAAATGGTACTCATTCCTTATAGACAGAAAAGGAAAACACTATCGTAAACATGAATAACTAGTTTATCAATTTAGTTTGTCCTACTAATTATGTCTAGTTTTAATCGATTCACAATATTGCACAACCGTCATTCTTAAGATAATTTTTCTTCACACTTAACATAACCGAACTTCACTGATCTCAGTGTGTACATCATTAGATGTCGGCTCTGTCGTCTAAAGGTTAGACGTTCATTAATTTTACCGAAGGTTCTGAGTCCAATTTTCCGAACGCGAGGTCGTAGACAGGCACTATTGAGTTGTCTCATACTAGAACAAGACGGCCGTCCACGTTTTGAATGGTGGTCTAAGATCAGTTCGTCATGTAAACTATGGAAATTCTACAATCTCCACAAATCTCTCTCTCTCCATATATATATATATATATATATATATATATATATATATATATATATATATATATATATATATATATATATATATATATTTATTTATTTATTTATTTATGTAATATTACTTATTTATTTTAACACATGGATATTGGTACAAGGAAAAGCGTCTTTTTAACCAATAGTTTTTGTGTTTCAGAGTTATGAACAATTTGTTGTCTCATAAAATTATAAATTTCGCATTCAAGTTAGATTCGAATACAACGATTAAACTAGCTGTGCTAATGAGACTGAAGATTTAATTCGACTAGCAGATTTTGAGTCATTATGTTATGAAATTAGTAACTGGGATCTCTATTAACTCCGCAGCAGTAAATCTGGTTAATCTTATCTCGAAATGATTTGCTTCACTTGACACATATCTTTTTTCTCATGTTTTATTAATACAAATATTTATAATAGCCCATTGTATCGGCTTAGTTATATGCGATGATAATGTGTGAGTTAGACTGAATATTTTCTAACTGATTAACATAAACTATCCATCCTTTTAAATGGTTAAATTGGATAGTGTTAGTTAAAGGCATTGTTTCATAGTTCAACTTCTCTAGGGCTGAATTTCATTAGTTTGTTTGTTAATGAAATAAACCAGACTCTATGAACCGAATGAAATTATGTTTTTCGTTTTGTTTTGTCTCTTTTCTCTTACTTCCAGTTTATTATGTTCTCTCTTCCGTCTATTATGGTTACAAGCTGCTTATGGTGTTGGGAGTGCTCAATTGGTTACGGATAATTTTTGGTTAATGACACGTTTAGCTGTCACATATTTCTGCCATAATGTAGTCGATCGGGATACATTAATGGTTAGTATATTGAATTGTTGTATCTCTGCTGACAGATTTATTGAAATCTGTAGTTCAATATCATTAATTAGTTTATTCATTGCAGTCGATTGATCTGATAACTTGACCTCTAGGTTTTGTTTGTAAAATTTTGATGCCGTATTGTTTATTGAGGTTTCTGGTCAGTTTACCTACTGACTGGCTTGGTTTCTTGAATTATTTAGCATTCTATGCATCTTTTTCTATTTTCTTCATTGAAATATACAGTCAAATAAGATTTGATATGACGGATAGATTTAAATGTTTTTATTTGCGTTATACTACGTTCCTATGATAGTACGGTAATAAGATTAGGCTGAATGATCGAGTTTATACTACTGCTAGATCGGATGCTCGAACGATCCGCTATGCACTGTTGTAACGTGTGGACTGCAGCTTAGATGCGCAGCGTTTTATTGATCGATTCAGTGACACGGAAAACATGTACGGATGGCCTAGAGTCTCGATTGGTCCCGCTTCCCTGTCTAGCCCAGCCAGTTGAGTCCAGAACACAAGTCTTAGCCTCTGAGATATGAATCATTATATTTCAGACACACAGTATTTATATACCAATCAACCAGACCACATCGTACCATAAAATAGAAAACATTTGTACAGTATTTAACAAGTGAAATAAACATCGACCAATAGGGAGTGTACATTTAAAGTCCAAGGCCACCATTAGACTTAACATGATAATTATTGGTATATTTTTCTGCACATCCTAACAGCACAGACTAGATCTCGCTACATCAGATACACGATTCACGACCAAAAATAGAGTATCAGAGTACAAACTAGGCACTAATTTATTCCACACAATTACAAGCAATCACTCCCAGTAAGTTCAGAGTAGAAATCAATAAGAGGAAAGGAAATCGCACATTTAATAGCCAGTAAGCTGCGTTCCTCTTTGTCCACACTCAGTGACTAATCACATTTACTCCCACTACCAAATATTATGGATAAATTGCTATTATTTCCTTTTTGGAATTTTATGCTACTCATGTTTTGTAGTTTATCATTAGTCTTTCATTAATTTTCAAAAAACATGTTAACTCATCAACTTCATCAACAGGTTTATGTACTGAAGTTTGGAAGTTAGTAAAACTAACCGTCCGTCTAGACCGAACTAGTTGAAATTGTTTTTGAACCTGAAACCTATAACTCAGAAACCGATTGCTTTGACACTACTAGACCATCGAGGCAGGGGTGTTATTTACGAAAGTTAATAGAAGAAGCGAGAATGTCTAGTGCTTAAATAGTTGGTGGATTCACAGGATCTATCTGTGGGAGTTGTAAAATCTTTACTATAAGGACCAATGTTGTGCATTAGTTCCAGTATCCTGAAGGGACGAATAACAGATGAACCTAATTTTAGTCACTGATTACCATCTCGTGATCTCACTTCACTTCGTTATGGATTTTACATCTACGTGAAAGGCTCGAAGTGGCGTTCTGAAGAAACCACCCGCTTCGGTTTGGGTACCCGGGCCCATACTATTTTTGATGCTCATTTGTACCAGTTTCTCATGTGGATGAAATACGTAAATAAAAGGTATCATAGCGATATTTTACTTCATTCATGAAATATTAAGTTTTAATTCCCTTTATCAATGTTATTTATTTGTTATGATCTGTTATAGTCTAATATTTCTCGATCACCGATCATGACAATACTTCAAGCTGAATCTGTTCACCCATTACCAGCACATCAAGGTGTATTTTTGTCAAATAAAACATATAACGGAGAAAATCAACTTTCAGAGAGAAAAGAAAATCTATTGCCAGAAAGTTGTAATGATATAAATCGAGTTTGTATTCAAGGTTTATTAATGTGTGTACGTTTAGCATTAGATAAATGGTCACACGAACCCCAAGCACTAAGTTCACTAACGCGACTATTGAGTGTGCTCAGTATGCATTCACCTAATTCGTAAGTGTCACTACTTTTTATGGACTGTTTTTTAATGCTATTTACACTTACTAATCAAGAAAGTCAATCAAACCTTTGTCGCATTTCGTTCTTCTACCCAGTATTCTTCTTTTGCTCATTATTCCTCGAACACTTTACTTCACTCTACACGTTCCCGAATTCAAACATGGCTCTGACAAGAAATTGATTATCTTCTAAATAGAACAAGTTAAACTAAGATCATTCTATAAGAATATGTTAATGTATTTATAATTTTTAAACAGGAAGACTCTAGGGTCTTCGCTTATCCGCTGTAGTTGGCGGGTTAAAAATAGGTCAGTCAATGTGCTACAACGTGGTCCTGTCTGGAACATACTTTAGTTAAGTCTCTGTCTTACCAATACTTCCATTTGAGCAGATTTATGGGATCTGTTGTTAGGGTCATCTTGTATCAAAGAAAAGAGTTTGTGCCTTCAAAATGTCCACCTTCCTGGTAATAAGGAAGTGGTATCATCCTTTTTCTTTTCAAGGATTGGCTTCACAGTTTCCAGATATTTCGATCTCAAAGGTGTCTAACAGAATATCAGTAGGTTTTCTAGGTCGGTTCTCGTTGTTCGTTATCGAATTTGCTTTAATTTGCTTTTCATTACGTATCAAATATTATATACATATTAACTATATCCATTAATCGTTTTCATTTTTGTATTTTCACTAAGCTTCAAATCTGTTTTTCAATCTCATTGCACTAAGCACTTATTCGCAAGCTTTTGTAATAAGCTAAAATATCTACAATAACCAAGCTTTATATTGCGTTTCACCAAACCTTTTTTTGTAAACTAATGTAGTGTTGAATTAAATAGTAACTAGAATGGATAAATCCTTATACATACCAAGGATGATGGGAAATAATATCTTCGCTTGACAAGATGAAAATACTGATAGTCAATATTTCATTCGACTATTTTAATGTTGTTTTATTGTGATGTTAAACTAAAATGTTTGTATTATTTCACATATATTTACCTCCAAAGAAGTCATATATAAAGAGCTACTGAACAGCTATTTCTATTTTCACAGTTCTCACTAGTTACTAGGCCGATTTCAGTTCGTTCTTTTAGAAAAAATAGGGATTGAATAATAATCACTAACTTACCTAACTTAAATTTCAAAGGTTAAATTGATAGTGAATTTTTACCTTTACTATTTCTTTTAACCCTCAGAATATATAAATTCCATAATCGAATTTCAAATAATCGAAAATGTCGTCTTAATATCGATCTATTCGAAAATACTATCGACTTGAACATATCAAGAACTGACTAATAATTGTTTCTCCCTAGTTCAATATTCTTATTCTCTAATAAAAAGACTATTTTATCCTGATGAAGCATTATTTTTGCTGTATAGAGGAGGTTATATTGCTTGTCGCATGTTAAGGAAAGACCAAATGACCCATTTCTGTATGGATTGTTACATTATTCTGTTGCAGCCAGTCCATTTTTTTCAGTTAAGTTTGCGTCGTCCAGTGTATGTTTCTAATTGTTTATTTGGTCTAATGTATGGTGATATAGTCAGTAAGGTAGGTGGTTGGAGGTGGTCAATAGTATACTCTGAATCTGACCGTTGTTGCTACCTTGACGTGGTGGTCGGGCTTGCCTATCGTGATGAAGCAACCGAGCTATACTGGCTGGAACAACCGTTCCTCAAGGTCCTACCATGTCAGACAGGTCGGTTGAAGAGCGGTAAGACTAAAAGCAACAAACCCAAGGTCCAAAGGCGAAGTCGTACTGCTGACTGTACAGAGGTGTGACAGCAGTAAGGTGTTTCCTTCAGACAACCAGCATGACAGCGATGCTGCCTTCCCACAAGGAGGGGTGGGGTTAGAAAAGGTCGACCCTAAAAATGCACACCTCACCTTACCTCACGGATTTCCGTCTCCGGCGGTAAGGCCCTTTGAAGAACGGAGCTAACACGTCAAAAACCTCCTACGAAAAGGCCGTGCGCGACCGGCCTCAAGCAGTTGTCCCTTGGGCACTGCGGTCACGCTCTCAGGTCACTAAGACCACCTTTAATCCAATTTCCTTTTCAGGTACCTCCAGAAGAACCCTTCCACGGTGTGGGCAACCGGGAAGTGATAACCGCCCTCATACCTCTAACAGCACCCAAGACCACTGTATTCATAATCAACCTCCCTCTTCAATTCCTATTATTCCTCCTACATCGACTTTCAACTTTAAATTTCCTCTCTCGGCTTCCACCTCAAGTGTCACCATAGCCAACGATTCTAGTGCGCAAAATACTGTCCCAAGTCTACTGAAACCTCGCTCCAAACTACACATTGGAGCCTTCAACGTACGAACCCTATGTCAAATCGGTCAGCAGGCTTCCTTGGCTAAAACCCTAGAGTCTCTTTCCATTGATGTATGCTGTGTCTCCGAAACACGCATACAGGATTCCAGTGTGGTTATTCACTTGACCTCACCTCGGCAAAACGGAGAGCCAACAAGATACACCCTTCGTGTATCTGGTGACCCGATGGCAAGTTCTCGTGGACTGGCAGGTGTAGGCATAGCACTAAGCATGAGGGCTGAACAAGCACTGCTAGAGTGGATCCCCGTCAACAGTCGTCTATGTGCCGTTCGGCTGAACGGCTACGTAAGAACTCGGAAGGATAGGGACACACGTCGTTGCCTTTTTGTCGTTTCTGCCTACGCTCCCACTGACTGCAGCTCAGATGAAGTGAAAGATGAATTTTACAGAAAGCTGTCCGAACTTCTTCAGAAAGCTAAACGCTCAGACATAGTACTCGTAGGGGGTGACTTTAATGCTCAGATAGGTAGCTTAAACCAAACAGAAAGGCATTTAGGTGGATATTTCAGTGTTCCGACACAGCGAACAGATAATGGTGACCGTCTGCTGCAACTGTGCTCAGACAATCGTTTATTTTTAGCAAACACAAATTTTAAGCATAAGGAGAGACATCGTCTAACATGGCGACCCCCTACACCAAACCAACGATGGACTCAAATAGACCATATTGCCATCAGTCATCGTTGGAGAGGGTCGGTAGAAGATTGTCGCTCATTCTGGAGTACCTGTTTGGACTCCGACCATGCCCTAATACGGGCACGCATCTGCTTGCGCCTCACTGGACGCAAAAAAGCCACAGTAAAAAGACCCGTCAGAACTGAGTTAAGTAACGAGAAAACCAGAAGTAGGTTCCAGGAACAACTGAGGTCACACTTAGGTAGTTGTGAAGACGAGGCTGACCCAGATGTTGCTTGGAAGGGCATACAATCAGCTGTGGAAACAGCAGTGACATCTATTAGTGACTTAAACCACAGAGTTTCAAGGAACCAGTGGATTTCTTCAAGGTCTGTCACACTGATGGATTCTCGCAAACTCGTCCCATCAGGTTCTGAACATGATGAAGAGCGTAAACAAATCAGATCTAGGTTAAGAAAAAGTCTAAGGAACGACCGTGAGCAGTGGTGGGCAACGAAAGCAAAAGAGATGGAAAAGGCGGCGACTATAGGGAACACAAGACAGCTTTACAGACTAATAAAAGAAACTGGAATTAATAAGTCAAGTGTAAGTGAGATTATTTCGGAAAAAGATGATACTCTCATCTGCTCCCAGTCCAGGCGTTTAGAACGATGGGCGGAACATTTTAGAGAACAGTTCAACTGGCCTTCAGCTACTCTACAACTACCCTCCATTCCCAGACAGTGTGAATGGAACATTGAAGTAGGTCCCCCAACTCTTGCTGAAGTTCAACGGCTATAGTTGGTCTGAAACGAGGAAGGGCAGTTGGTCCAGATGGACTGGCTCCAGAGGTCTTTAAGGATGGTGGTCCAATTTTAGCGATTAGGTTGACTAATATTTTAGCTAAGATCTGGGAATTAGACTTTATCCCATCTGACTGGTCGCAATCACTTATCGTCCCAATATATAAGAAAGGGTCAAAATCATCCTGTGACAACCACAGAGGGATTAGTTTAACAAACATAGTATCTAAAATATTGGCCTCGATAATTATCAAACGCCTAACTAAGACTCGTGAACTACAAACTCGAGAGAACCAAGCTGGCTTTAGACCTGGTCGTGGCTGCATCGACCACATATTCACCATTCGTCAGGTTCTAGAACACAGGCATACCTATCGGCGTCCGACGATGGTGGTCTTTCTTGACTTAAAAGCAGCATTTGATTCTGTAGACCGCGAGACTCTGTGGCAGTGTCTGTCATTGAAAGGCGTACCACAGAAGTACATAAACCTTGTGAAGGCTCTTTACTCGAACACTACTAGTCGAGTCAGGGCTTATGGCGAACTGTCATCTACTTTTGCAACCTCAAGTGGTGTCCGTCAAGGCTGTCCACTTTCCCCATTTTTGTTTAACTTCATCATAGATCTACTGATGGAAATAACTTTCTCGTCGACTGAATTCTCGGGTATTGATCTCCTTCCAGGAGGTCCACTTATCGACTTAGAATACGCAGATGACATAGTCCTGTTTGGTGAAGACGCTGACAAAATGCAGAGTCTTCTGGTAGCACTAAGCAACAATGCCAGAATGTTTGGGATGCGCTTCTCTCCCTCTAAATGCAAGTTGTTGCTTCAGGACTGGTCTGCGTCAACACCTGAACTAAGGATAGGGAGTGAAGTAGTCGAACGCGTCGACAACTTCACTTATCTTGGAAGTCTGATCAGCCCTAATGGGTTGGTGTCTGACGAAATCTCAGCACGGATTCGAAAAGCTCGTTTGGCTTTTGCCAACTTACGTCACCTTTGGCGGAGGCGAGATATCCGTCTATCAATAAAAGGACGAGTATACTGCGCGGCAGTCCGTTCTGTCTTACTTTACGACAGCGAAACATGGCCTTTAAGAGTGGAAGACACTCGTAAGCTACTAGTATTTGACCACAGATGCCTTAGAAATATTGCTGGCATCTGCTGGGATCACCGGGTAAGTAATAGTGAGGTTAGACGCAGGGTATTAAGGAATGATGGTAAATCAGTTGATGAGGTTATGAATCTTAATCGACTGAGATGGTTGGGCCACGTATTACGTATGCCTGAACACCGATTACCACGACGTGCAATGCTAACCGGTGTAGGGGATGGTTGGAAGAAAGTTAGGGGCGGCCAAACCAAAATGTGGCATCAGTGCCTGAAGTCACTAACTTCTAGTCTGAGCCATGTTGGTAGATGCAGACTACTTGGTTGGGGTCCGCGTGACTTTCGTAACCAATGGTTGGAAACTCTTGGTGACATGGCTCAGAATCGATCACAATGGCGTCGGTGTATACACTCCCTGTCTTCTTTTAAACTAAGAGACTAAAATCACTTCATTCTTTCTGTCTACGAACTAATTCTTTCTTCCTATACTATATCCTTATTGCAACCTTTGACCTAACCACTCCTATGAATCCGGTGTTCATCTTGCTGTGCTAATGAGGTATGGCAACCTGGACCGATGCACATATGTGCCTGGTCCTACGTTGTAGCTGACTGACTGACTGACTGAATCTTGAGAGAACTGATGCTCTTTAGCAGATTCGATCTTATGTCAGCCAGGTTCATAGTTAGAGACGTTGCCATTGAACTATTCGGGCGCAACTGACCTGTAGGGTTGGTGTATTCGGTAATAGTAGTAGTAGTTTCCCTGTAATGATTTAACTAAAATTAAAAGCCCTAATGGTTACTCTATTCATTCGTTTTTTTTCTTGAGTTAGATCATCTGATTTAGCTTGTTCCGCGTGGTATGACATATGTACGCTTGTTGCTGGTCCTCAGGCTTCAGAACACACATGGCCTAATTTGTCGACAGATAGTTTAATTCAGTTAGTTGAAGCCTGTTTATGCGGTAGTTGGGCAATTGATAAAACAAAACTATCATCATCGGCATTAGTTCAGCAGCAGCATCAAAGTAATGAAGATGTCTCCGATACTTTGCTGCTTCAGGTATATGTTTTGTTCTGTTTAGTTTTACGGTCATTTCTGTAGTTAGGTTGACTCTCTGAATATAAATCAATATTAAATGATAAGTTTATGAATCAAACTTACGATGACATAACCGTTGTTTTCGTTTTTCGTAGGTTGTGTATTGTATATGACATGGCTGGCTTCAGCGAATGTAACACTTTAGTTATGTATCATAATTATTTGTTCATAGGGTCGTAGTGGTTTATATTCGAGATAATTCCCAAGTCTTCGTATATCTCTCGTCCCGATAGTGGTTATAAGATAACTCCCAATGGTGTATAAATTTCAGAAGACAATACAAAGCTTGGACTACAGTTCATTATTGTAGAGAGCAGATCACAAAGCTACAACCACACAAAACAAATTTGAGTAGAAACGTGAATAGTAGCGGATTAGGACGAATGCATTGATAAAATTTAAGAGAGAGAGAGAGCCATATATAGGTAAGAGAATGATTCATCGAGCTATTAAGTAATAAGAGGGATTTGTGTAAGCTGTAACGTGACTAAGGCTACACGCTCATGCAGTCACGATAACAATAATAATGTTAAGATATAGACATATCGTTACTGTTCTGATGACACTGTCTGTTAAGTAAGTTAATTGAAGAGCTTAACAAGATCGAACGTATAGAAGCTCATGTGTTAGTGAGGTACTATAATGTTTCACCTGCAGCTTATACACACGTTTTGTTTAATCCACAGTTGAGTTGTTTTTGTAAGCAGTTAAACAAGTGATAATAATCTCAACGAGATATGCATCAAAACACATTGTTCTTATCCGACTTTAATTCATATTTTTCCTAGTTCCTTGAGTTTATATTGTTTTAATATCTTGATGTGTTTATCAAATAGATTCACGCCAAAATTTGAATCTTATTTATTTGTTTCATTTCGTCCCGAATTTTAGCTTATCCGCGAGATTCGAGAACATGTTCTTCGTGTAATCAATGTTCTTACCCATGATGAAGCGTCTTTCAGTTCACTTCAAGATTCTACAGCCACTAATATGTTGGTTAATTGTACAGCTGTTTTAAGAGGTGTTTCACGTGCTGTAGGATCAATAGCAACAAACAGTAACTCAACTACCGATTTAGTTTCATTAGTTTGGAATGGTCTTTTAGGTCCATTCTTATCACATAGTGCAAATTATTTAGTGTTGGTAAGAATATTACCTAGTACTCATGTTTTTCTTCTTTGTCTGTATATTTTATGTAAATGACTTTATAACAGTGGATTTTAGTAAAGTTGAATTTTAACAAAGTAATTTAGCTGACCTAACCACCGTCGGAAAAAATATCTGATAGATTAAGTTGTGTAACAAAATTGAATCGGTTAATTTTGAGTGTTCAAATAGACATCTTTGTTTCCCTCCATATTGTTTCAAACATTTATTATTGTATACTATGTTTAGAGAAGAGTTTGTGGATTCACTAATAGTCAAGACAATTAACTTCTACATTATCTTATCTAACATTAACATGTTTGATTAGTTACACTAAATTATTGAACTGAATGAAATATGTGTAGTCCCAAAATACACGAGCAATGCTTCAAAGACACCTGTGATCAAATATTAGTAACCTACGAATATCCCCTATTCTTAATGAAATTTTATTTCTTTAGCTTTTCTATATCCAGTAAGACACAGACAAATACGTGCTCAAACTAGAGCATAATTTGAGTCTGAACATGTGTTTCAGAATGAGGTACAGTCTCTTATCGAAACTATTTAACAATGGCTGATGGCAATTTAGTCTTTTTAAGTCCATCGCTAAATTGATTATAGAGTTCGCCACGTCAGATGATGTTTCTTCCTATATCTAAAGTTGGTGTTTGCTGGAAGCAAACGGTTGTCTGAACATAGTTACAGCAGACGGTAGCCGTTAACTGTTTGCTGAGCCGCGACACCATTAGATCCTCTCAAATACCTTTCGGTTTGATTAAGTCTATTTGCTTGAGCATTAAAATCAGTTGCCATCAGAGAGTTTGGCTTTTTGAAGTGAGTTGGATAGCTTCCCATAAAGTTCATCTTTAACTTCGTTCGAACTGCAATCAGTGGGAGCGTAGGCAGAGACAACGAGAAGGAGACTGCGTGCGTCCCTATCTTTTCGAGTTATTACTGTCCCGTTTGGTTGAACAGTGCACACGTGACTGTCTATTGGAAAAAATCCTAATAGAGTCTGTTCTGCTTTAGAACTTAATGCTATACCTAAACCAGCGACGTCGCAGGAACTAGCAGTGGCGTCTCCAGATGCTCAAATGGTAAGTCTTGTTGGTTTTTGTTGTTGACAATGTGAGGTCGAATGAATGACTGTTGTTGGACCCTGTGCGCACGTTTCGGAGACTCGACAGACATCGATGATGGGAGATTGTAAAGTTCTAGTTAAAGAAGCCTGTTCTCTCTGACACGATGTTTGAACATTAAGATTTCCAACATGTGGTTTAGAACGTTGTTTCATGAGACCAGGAATAACACTTCCTGAACTGAAATCATTATAATTGGTTGTGCATGGTGATAGAATTAAAGAGAAGGATTAATCATGGGGATAAGAGATGTGGGGATTTTATTGGCTAATGAATTCGATAAACTGACACCATATTGGCGATCCTGATTTCAGGTATATTCGCCTACAAATAGTTGTAGTAACGTATATATTCGTGCAAAATTATATTGTCTTGGTGAAATGTGAAAACCATAAATTAAATACATTATTTGCACATCTTTCTCCAGTTGTTTTTAACATGCTTTATGATAGTTCCAATTCTGTTGTTATTCCAATTGATCTATGTTCTTTTTCCTGTTCTTTTCAATCCAACCTTCTTTTCTCGGGAATTTGTTTACAGCACACAGTTTCATATTGAATAAAAGTTGAGAATAATCGCTATGACATTTATTGCATAGATGTGGTCATGATATTTATTTTAGAAATTCTAACAGGTAATGTGTATCTGGTGAAGAAGTACAAATTTCTCTTGATTGAACACTCGGACATTCTTTAAAAAACGTATCATTCATAATTTGCTTGGTCCCTGACGATTCTCTCTCTCTCTGTGTGTGTGTCTAATTGGAGCATAGGTATGATAATGTCGATTTTCAGATGGCTGAAGGCAAACTATACTTTGTAATGCATAAACGTTTTATTACACATTCCATACGAATAGGAGAATTATCGTAGATTGTTTGACTTTTCTCTGGAAATCGAACAATTCCTAATGAAATTCCTTATCATCACAGAAAATCAGTTATTTTTATTGATGAATTTTCAATTTGTCGTATTCAAAGTAGATTTATATAAACGATGCAAGTATCTGCTTTAAATTGAAATAATACATTTAGACGAATGGAAATTACTTTGTGGAAATTACAATGTGTCATTCTTATTTTTGATGCTTCATTTCCTAGTACTGGAATATATTGTCAATATTCTAAACTGTTATTTCATAATTTTCACTTGTTTGATTCTTGAGTAGTATAATAAGGTTACTTACTAATTGGAAGTTCACATATGCATTTATACTGTGTTATCTCGATAGTCTACATCACAGTCTAATCTTAGACAAGCACATTGAAAGAAATCTAGAAAAAACCAAATAAGTTTTGTAAGCAATGATAGATAGTGGCTAGCAGTGGAATCCAGTTTGATGCGCGTTTTGTTCTATTTGGGACTCGTCAGCTGGATGTACCTGCATCTTAGAGTTGATGTTCACTTTGGGACTCGAACCCAGTACCATTCACTTCAGATGTCATCGCGTTATCCACTCAGCTACTGAGTCCTGATAGCCATTTGCTTGTGCAAATAAGTTTTTTTTTCGTATGAGACTCTTTTAACTGTGGAAGTCATCGATGATTCCACAAAAATAACAGACTTAATACATACATTCAAATCGACCAGTGAGTTTTCATCCACCGGTTAATATTATGTTATTCTGCAATTATTATTGTTTTCTTTTTCATTGTTTTTATTGTTATGTGTAATGTTTCTTGTTTTTGTTCTCAATTCATAGAAATGTCATAATCACTCAGAAGCTTTACAATCATTATTCTCTTTATTCACTGATGTTGCTGATTCTTGTCTAATTTATTTGGCCGGTCTACCATCATCATCATCATTTTCAGATTCATTATTGAATAATGATTCTACAGTTGTACAATCATCATTGGAAACAAATAATGAAACTAGAAATGGTTGTGCTACTCCATATGCTTCTGGTTCATTTTTAAATTGGACAGTTGTTCTATGCAAACATTATACTAAAATTACACAAGGTAAATATCCACGATCTCAATCTAGGCAGATATAATTAATGTTCCTGTTTTTTCAAATTGTTAGTGTTGTGTTAGATTGTGCTTGGTCAGAGTAAATTGTCATAACATTTTATTTAATTTATATTGTCTTTCACTGTTGTCAGTAAATGATTAATGTTTATATTATAATTGAGTTAAAGCTATATGGTTTCAATATAACAATGCAATAGTAAGTGGAATACGTGAAATTATCTCCAACCAAACTTAAACTATAACCCACCCCATCAATAACTCGACTCAATCCTCAAAAAAAGAGTGCAAAATTGTTATCATCATTCGAACTATTGAAAATATAGTGTAAAACGCATAGGTGTTTAAGTAGTGTCTGTTTTTTTTTTTTGGAGGGGGGGGGGAGGATATCATTGAGAACCAGCCATTATAATTCTGAGGGTCAGATTTAGTTCAAATTCTTGTAAAAATGTTTCATTCACCAGTAAGCAACTTAAAATATCGTGATGTATGTAGTGTGGAGTATTTTTAAGTAGATAAGATGTCCTAGTTGTTCTTTTTTGAATATTTAATATTGACTTTCAAGTATGTTATCTATCATTCTGCTATGATGATCTAAACTATTCATGTGAATACCTGAATTACACAGTACATGGATAGGGGTACATATTAGTTTTTTTCTGGAAAGAATGACTACATTTCAAAGAAATATTTGGTTTAATTTCTACCCTGAAAGTGTTATATTTAGGTTTGTCGACGAAGAAAAGAAATCTATCTTAAAGTGTCAGAATTTGCATTAGCTTTCTCACAACTGTAAGCGTTTTTTTAGCGAGTTAGTAATGTAATGTAACTTAAACAACCCTCCCAAAAAAGTCGGAACTAAGCTGGTTACTTCTGTTTATCGACCTCGTGAATAATTCGTCTGAATTCAAATCAACAGATTGGTTGAAAATAGCAACTGATTATTCAAATTGTAATCAGCTGGGTACATTTATGTTTGTGTGAAAGCCATTGTTTAGTTAATATATATTCGAAAAATTCTTGCATGACTAACAATGGTATATACCTTCGAAAAATTTATATATTTAACCATTATATGGAAGTGAATTTCTTTATTTCATTGGTTTACATGTTAAAGTTGGAAAATGTTATAACTTGTGATCGCCGATAGAGAGAGCAGTGACTTATCGATCGGACCAAAGACGCGTAAAACACGTGAGAACAGCCTAGAGTTCTGATTGGCCCTGCTTTCCGCCTAGCCCAGCCAGTTAAGTCCTGAACACCAGTCTCAGCATCTGAAATATGAATCCTTATATTTCAAACATACTGAGTTTATATACCAATCAAACAAACCACAACGTACCAATAAAATATGAAACAACATTTGTACAAGAATTAGCCAGATGTGACTGTGAATGAGGGAGATAGTAATCAATATACTGGGTATAATTCATGAATGGTAAAACGTATAATAATAGTCCATAGGTTAAAATAAAGCTTATAATAAGAGGAATATGAATATGCATAGTTTAGTTACCTAATAATTATACGATAGAAGTATATGTTTAATATTGATCCATAAAAGGATCCCAAAGTTATCATTCATTATGTTCCTCGGGTCCTAACAGAAAACAATAAATCGGTACGTGCAACATCATCTAGTATTTTTATTGTTTCACATCAGTGGGTATTGTCTATTTTTTAATACTTTTTCATTATTTAATAGTTATATGAACTTAGTGGCTAAGTGAATAACACGTGAATGTTTAAAGTGAGAGGTAGGTGTCGAGTTTGGATTTCATCATATGAATATCAACATTGAAATTCAGGTGCACCTTCTAGCAGATAAGTCCTACGCAAAACGAAATACTCATTCAGAATTGGAATACTAGTGCATTATTCAATAATAATTAATTTCATTTTAAGTATTCACATTAGTTGACACTTTACTTTACTAATATTATGAATAAATTGTAGGTAAATTAAATTTTGAAGCGACAGCTGAAGATGATCAAATTCAAGAACTTCAACTATTACTTATTCTCCTAAATCGTGTTCTTTATCATGAATTTGAATTAAGGCTTAGTGGTGCTATAGTTTTATCTCGGGTTGATAATGAACTAGTTATTCAACCAGATTCTATGAATTCTCAAGATGCAACATGTAGTACTATTCCGACAGTTGATGCAGCCGTTATTGGTTTAGGACATTTATTACCGTTAATAACAGAATCTAATTTAACAGTAGGTTTTTTTATTTATCTTTTTACCGCTTATAATACATTTTAGTAGTGTAGTGAATTTTACGTGTAAATGTCAGATCTTATCGTTAACTTGATACACTGACTTCATATTTATGCTTTAAAAGTTGTTGACAGTTACATTTTAATCATGAACCGATCTAGATGGCTGTTTCATTCTAGTATGGGACTACTCATCAGTGCACATCCACGACCTCTCAAACGGGGATCCAATTAATTGATTTGACACATTGAAGCTTAGAGAATTCAAACATAAAAATTGGTGATATCAAATAGAGAGGAGAAACAAAAATGAATAGTTTTGACGTGCTGGTGATGTCTTTTGAATTGAATTTCTCCAATACTATTCACGTTAAATCACAGCGTGCAATTAAAATACTCCCAGTACGAAAGACTATTATCAACTTCAAATAACTTGCATAGCTATTCAAACTATCTTCAGTTTGACATAGAATGAATGAAATGTGAATAACAGTAGAACCAAGGACACACGTGCCGTCCTGTTTGGGATTCTTCAATTGGGTTAGTTGTGAAGGACGAAACGTGAGTCCTGAATTCCTCTGCTCATCGCATTCCATCTATTCTATATTAATTTGTGTCATAGTGTCTACATCGAGTTAATCTACACAGGATGCATATATGCCAACCAAGACTGATCAAATCCAGTCGAAATATCAGCAAATGGGTAATCTGAACCATTTAAAATTGACTTAGATCTCTTATTTAATTTTCGAGTCGATTCGTATACTGGTTATGAAGGAAAACACCAAGTAGTATTTACTTGAGTTCTTAGTATACTATTAGTTAGGTTTTGAATTCATCCAAAGTTGAAAATTGACCATATTTTTTCTACTGTGTAATTGTATTCTTCACAAGAACTTGTACACAGTCCATTGTTCTATGTTTTCCATACCGATGCAAAAGTCTAGTTGGAACTCTCCCTCTCCCATCAATTGCTTCTTGTATGATAACATTCAGGATTGAATTCCACAAAAATATGTAGCTAAATTAACTTTTCACTTTTTTTAAGAGATGAGATTTACAAGTTTTATTCAATTTGCCATGTCAAATTCAAAGTTGATGGGAAGATCTGAGAGGGTCTACTTAAGACGTTTAATAAAACTGGTTTCTCCAACTCCCGGTACTTGAGTCACCCGTAGTCGTTCTTTCGTTCGTCTGCGAGTTTTTTGTAATCATTTTTGGGTATAGGTAGAGTGAGAGATTAACTCAATCTGTACCATACGGTTCTGCTGCTTGCTTTTGCTCATGGGAATTAAGGTCACACACTAAATAGAGAGTACTGTACGTAAGTACAAGTCGGACTTTGCCTCCCATCCTTTCAGTAATGAATCTGTTTTCTACTCGTGTTGATGAAGGCGCATATATATTTGGCGCACTCCTGTACCAATATACATGTGTTCAAATAAATAAATCAACTTTCACCTACTAAATTGTATGTTCAAACGCTGCTCCACCTACTTTGGTTTGAGAAATCGAGAATTAATATTATTAACCATCGTATCCATGTACTTGGTGAACAAGTTAGTTATTAATTATTTTGTTATTAGTTCTATAATGCTTCAGATAGTCGTAATTAGTGTTTTTGTGTGCCAACTTTTGTTTTTCAGATCCCAGAATTATGTCAAGCATTTTATTCGTTAGCCTCTTATGCATGTGAATTACGTCCTCAGGGATTCATCCGACTTACAGACAATCAACTTACATCTTTTGGTCGTCTTCTTCGATTTGGAATATTTGGTGTAGAATTTGATCAATCAAATCACATTAAATCTTCATCTGCCTCACGATCTGCATCATGTTCAGCAGGATGTGTTGACAATTCAGTGGTTCAGCAATGTTTGGATATTATAATTTCATTGACTGATCATTTTTTGGAGATTAGATCACGTTCTCGTTCTTGTCCTGTAGAAGAGCTTCAAAATGCTATTCGTTTGATCAATGTTATCGGTTTGAATACACAATTCCTGTCTGACTTATTCACATTACTAACAAGAGAAAGTTATTCGGTCAACTTAGAAGCATCATTTTCATCTGCACTCCTCAATTTAATTCATTTAAGTCCGGTAAATAGTTGTTTTGAGTTTTGCGATTCAACGATATTGAATGATTATTTTATAATTGGTTTTGTTTTTTTCCTTACTTATAAACGAATCATCACTCAAGATTGTTATGATTAGCTAATCGTCCGCGTTAGCCTTACAAATTGATAACGCATACCTGACTATTTATATGAATGTTGATAATAGTTTACAAGTTGTGTGTAGGTACTCTATTTTGCATAGCCATGTGTATACACCCTTTTATTTATTACTGAAAGAATATCGTGTTTTTACTTAATTACGCCTGTTACTCCTCGTTGAGGAGCATAGACCACCCACCATCACTCTCCATCCAACACTGTCCTGAGCAATCATTTCCAGCTCCTTCCAGTTGTTATTCATACTTCTCATATCTGCTTTTATTTCCCGACCTAATTTGTTCTTTGGCCTTCCTCTTTTCCGCTTCTCTTCAGGATTCTAAGTTAGCACTTGTTCCGTGATGCAGTTTGATGATTTGCGTAATGTATGTCCTATCGATATCCCTCGTCTTTTCCTAATTTCCTCTTCAGCTGGAAGCTGGTTTGTTATCTCGCAGAGAAGGCTGTTGCTGATGGTATCCGGCCAATATATGTTGAGTATCTTGCGTCGACAACTATTTATAAATACTTGTACCATTTTGATGATGGTTGTGGTAGTTCCTGAAGTTTCAGCTCCATACAGTTGAACTAACTGCCTTGATGTTCATATTGAAGATTGTGACTGATGTTGGTTAACAGTTGTTTTGAGTTCTATATGTTGTCCAACCGTAATAAAGCTGTCCTTGCTTTGCCAATCTTTATCTTTCCTTCTGCATCAGATCCTCCACGTTCATCTATGATGCTACCGAGATACGTGAATCTTTCCACTTTCAGTGTTTCTCCATCAAGTCTAACTGGGTTGGTGTTCTCTGTGTTGTATTTGAAGATCTTGGCTTTTCTATTGTGTATGTTGAAGCCTTCTGCTGAAGATGCTGCTGCTACACTAGTTGTTTTCATCTTCATTTGTTCGTGTGTATGGAATTGGAGGGCTAGGTCATCTGCTAAGTCCAAATCATCCGATTGGTTCTGAGCTGTCCATTGTATTTCGTGTTTTTCCTCAGATGTCGAGGTCTTTATGATCCAGTCGACCACCAGAAGAAAGAGGAAGGGGGAGGATAAACAGCCTTGTCTGACTCTGGTCCTTACTTTGAATGCATCTGTCAGCTGTCCTCCATGCACGACCTTGCACTGTAGTCCGTCGTATGAGTTCCGGATAATATTGACAATCTTCTCAGGAACTCCGTAGTGTCGAAGAAGTTTCCATAACGTTCTCCTATCTACACTGTCGAATGCCTTTTCATAATCAATGAGGTTGATGTATAGTGACGAGTTCCACTCAACTGATTGTTCGACGATGATCCATAGTGTTGCAATTCGGTCTGTGCACGACCGATCCTTATGGAATCCAGCTTGTTGATCTAATATCGTGTTCACACCCGTAATCTCTTCGGAGGGTAATTTTATGTAGCTCATTCACTGATTGCCAATTCATTTTCTGAGCTGTGAAACACTTTTTCCTTAAGGGCTATTATTACTACACTGTTTTTCAAATCAAACTAGGTAGAACAACTGCGTTCGAATCTATAGTTCAATGATTCGATATCAACCATACCAACCACTAAGTCACAACTACTCTTAAGGATGTCACTTTCTGTTTATAAAAACCTTACTTCAATCTATTAATTTTACAGTCTTTGACCTCGCATCCTTTCAAATTTCGTTATTATTATTTCCTCATTGTTGTTTAACCTTACCACAAGTAATGTTTTGCTACGAAATATTTTACCATATGCTACTGTATACTTCAATCAATTTCATCACATTACCAATCTGAATTACTAGTAAATTACATTTCATTTGAAGATACTTTAGACAATATCTTTTAATCAATTAATTAATTATTTATTTGAACACATAAATATTGGTACAAGAGGGCACCAAATAGATATGCGCCACACAAAACAATGAGAATTTGAAGAGAAGGAAAAAAGGTGAGGAGCGTTAAAAAAAGACAATCACGAACAGATTAGTGTAATAGTAATAATAATGGGGGAAACGGAAAGGTACAACCAGAAGAAATCTTTCAGTTAATAAAGAAACAACTACTTTTTATGAAGAAAGTAAAAGAAGCTTACAGCAGGATCGTCACTGGCTTCTATTCTGAGCCATATCTGATAACGTCTCCAGCCACAGTGTAGCACCATCTCTCGAACCTCAGCCAGGGAGTTGTGAAGGACCAACAGAAGCCAACCCCTTACAGCTTCCTTTAATACCACGACACCATGTCATACACTGGCCACCTCTCCGCTTTTCCCAACCAGTCCCAGAGTCGGCAAATAATAATCGACGTGGAATAATAATAATAATAATAATAATAATAATAATAATAATAATAATAATAATAATTAGGAACTTATTACTGTAATATATACATATATATAATAGAAATTTACATATTCATTGAAATAAATTTATTCATTTTATTCAGGAAGCTTATTCAAATCTTGTTTATCAGTGGATTAATAATTGTGAAAATCCTATGATACAAACACGTCTTAGTGATGCTTTCAAACATTTAGGTAATTATTGTTGCCATAGTAATAATAATAATAATACTGAAATAATACAATCCGATCAACAATTAATAATGGAGGATCAAACTAATAAAAATAATTCATATATAAAATGTTTTAATGAAACTAAACCAACTCGTTCAATTCGATCAGAATTTCAACAATATTTTCATTTGTTTGTCACTGAAATGCGATCATTTATATGTTTTGGATAATTAAGTGTATCTATGTTATATATACAGATATATCGTTTGTATGCCACTTTTTCTACATAACGAAAATGCTGGTACTTGAATCCAACGGTGAATAATAAATACTCTTCAGTTGTGTTTTTTTCTAATCGTCGTAATACCTTTCCTTTTTATGTATTTATCTCGATCTATCTAATTCATATTTTATTACAATCAGTATTTTTTTCTTGCTGTTGTACAGACTTGTTAGATTCATATTATTATTATTATTATTATTATTATTATTATTATTATTATTATTATTATTATTATTATGACAACTAATTAAAACTATTATTGGATAATAATGTATATTCTGTTGGGTTTTTACTTGTTTCGATGATGAGTGTTGAACCGTTCAAACTAATTGTCCCAGATTAGAGTAATATGTTTTTCGAATTGGGTATTTTTTTTTAACAAAATCGAGAGGATGAAAAGCGAATGTCCAGCGCTTTAGTTGGGTTGGTGGACATGGAGAGTTGTAAAACGCTGACAAAATAGATACAGAGAGTTTATTCAACTAACTCTGCCTTATCCAAATGAACAGAGGCCGTAGTCATTGTAAGATCTATACCTGGTGTTTGTATTCAAAAAGGGTCGGTAGTTGAGCTTCGAGATTCTTAACAGCAAGCGAAGTAAATATTTCTCCCATCAACCCTGATGGGATGGTTTACGATGACATTTTCTACGCGAATTCAGGAGTCTCGATTAGTGTTTTCCAACCTACGTCACTTGTAATGTAGGCATGATGTTCGTTTGTCAGTTAAAAGATGAGTATCCTGTTCAAGAACTCTCTCTCTCACACTTAATGACTGTGAAACTCAGTCTTTGAAAGTTGGAGATATGCTTAGGTTGAGTGTTTTGATCATTCATGCTATCAAAGCACTACTCAATTTTCTTGGAACCACCAGATATGCAATGGTGAGGCTAGACTTAAGATTCCAGACAAAGATGGAAAATATGGTATGTCAAATAAATGAATACACATATGTATAAGATTCTACGTTGGTGATGACTGATTGTCCATTCTTAGTGGTTAGACTTTTTGATATTGATTTCGAAATGAATGTACTGCATTATAATTAGTGCTATGTATTGTTGTGAATAAGCAATGAAGACAAATATGACAAGATTTACATAGATTGTGTAGTCTTAATGCAATCTAGCCGTTACATTTTATTTTGTTGAGACTCTAATTTATGGACGAGCCAATCAGAAGCGCTTTAGAGATTTCAAGGTTTCGGCGCCAACTTCAGTACCTGATGCTAACGTACGATCGGTTCACAGGGAATTTTGTACAAAACGTGATAATTGATTGGCTATAACAAATAAATCGGTGAGACTATAATTTGTGGACGAATCAATCAGGTATAAGGCAATAGATCTCTGATTTTAACGCGAAAGCCTTTCACTTATTTGGCTAAATAGATTTCTGGCATTATAGCTGATGCCAGTTCGTGATGTAAACCCTATATATAATTGCTAATTAAGGCAAATTACGACAATTATTGCGAACCGAATAATAAAAGCACCAGTAACACTGGCTGCAGCCAGGTACTACAATACATACTGATGATTGGAGAGCGTACAGACTCTTAAATAGGCTTGGTTATTTGCATTGTGTCGTTATCCACGAGTGGCATTTTTTGGACCCAACAACCGGAGTGCACGCAAACAATATTGAAGCTATGTGGTCGAGAGTGAAAGAGTTTTGCGACTTTATCATGGCTCCAGAGGCCTACTATTATGCAGCCATATGGATGATTCCCTCTACTGTATGCATTACGATTTTAGAACCTCTGAACCTCTTTCTAAACTTGACAAGTTTTTGAACCCTGTATTAGAAGTGTATCCACTTTATTTCCTTGGTTCTGTATAATATATTTTTACTCTACACTGTCGTTTTCTGATTGGTTGATATTTCTCAAGGTCACTTGAGGTTCGTTCAAAGGTCGTCCATAAATTAGAGACTCGCCTTTCTTGCACATACACACACTCTCTGTATTTATGTGTGTACGTGTGCACTGAATCTGCAATCAAACTTCATTATATTATCTTAAAATTGAAACAAATCAAACTAAGTTTTTACATTGAACATTTATGATTTTATTTGACAATTCTTCATTGACCAATTCCTACTAACAAATACATTCACATCGTCCATGATCAAGCATATAAGAAGTAGTTTCTGGAGGAACTTCAGTTGTTACAGTATAAGAATTCGTATTTGATTCATCTTTATAGGCTTCATCTGATCGATTGTTCACACTTACTCTGTAACAGAAAGAAGACAATAAGAACATTAGATCATTGTGAAGATTGTCTACTAACTACTATCTCACAATAAAATTATTCCACTGTATTATTCTGAACAGTCAAAATGTTTACTTATTGGAGTATTGAAGTATGTTGATATTTTATTACCTATGTTGCTGTTGTTGTCATTGGTTTAGGACATGAACAAAATTGAAATATGACTGACAGATTTCAGCTATTCAACCAACTAGTTGGATAATTAAATTAGTTTGATGAGTCGTTTAAATTCAATGTGAGTGAATAATTAGACTTAAACGATCCACATTTAGTGTCATATTGGTTTATTCTGTTTCTAAAGTTGATATGAGCGTTAGACTAGTAATTTCTTTTGGGCATTTTGTGTTGTTTGGTTATTCTTATTGTGACTTTTAATTTGAATCAGTGATAGCAGTAGATCAATATATTTGTTATTGTCAATTGTTGTCAGCTCGTTATATCTCAGTTTGCTTGTTAAGTCTGTTTCACGTTCTCTGACCTCATTCACTTCCCTTCGACTCTTTCGTGTATTGTTTTATACTACTTATTGATATTCAGTAAATAATTGTATTCCTAGCAATTTCTATGCGTATGTTGTAAAACAAGTTTATCCTGATATATTCTGAAATATTTACATATACTTATAACATTTATTGTATTTATCATTAGAATTATTTCACCTCAGTCATTGTAACAGTTACTCTCAATTTTGTGCAATCGTTTAAACCTTGTTTAAAAGCAACTGTTTTCATATTGCTTGTTGATAGACCGTTATCAAGTTTAGACACAGCCAACGGCTGTCATTTTTGCTCTACCAAAGCCTTTCTTATTTCAGTCAAAAGGACGTCGTAAACGCCACAGACACTTCACAAATTGATGTTTGTAACTAATGTTTGTAGTATTATTTAATAAAGAACAGCTATTTTAGACAAATCGCTGCTTTGCGAACTTCGATTTTGTGCATATCTCAATTAAATTATTTAAACGCTTCGATAGACTTAGCAGTGATGTTTATATAAACTAATGATTCTGTGTACTTGATTTGTGCCTGATTTCGATTTCTAAATACAATACGTTTGTTTGTGCTCACCTAGTTCTACCTAACTCGAATGGTGTTATTTCGGGGATTCTATATTCGATTAATTATCCTAATACTTTTAATTATCATACTTAGTATTATCATTCTGTTGTGACTTTATGAGCCGCTTGTTATCACGTAATCTATTCGCCAATCAAAATACGACTTATTCGCTCTTATACTGTACTAAACCAATGACGTTCGTTCGGTCTGATCAGCCTAGCCTCCTATTGGTCCGTTGCTCGCCTGAGTCCAGAACGCCAACAACTGTCTCCACTATGCGAACCATTTATTCCACACATACTGGGCTTATATATTAACCAAACAGACCGCAACGCACCATAAAATAGAAAATAACATTCATAAGCAATAAAGCCAAAAAGTGGCTGTGAACGTGGGAGGCAGTAGTCAATAAACTGAACATAACTTAAGAATAGTAAATCGAACAATAATAATATATAGATCACAATAAAGCTGATAACAAGGGGAATATAAATATACATAATCTAGTTACTGAATATTTATACCATAAGAATATATAAATAATATTAGCCCATTAATAGGTCACAGACATTACTCGTAATGTAATCTTCACTAGGATATAACACATTCTATTATCTATTCATCAACGTTCCCTTTGTACATGTAATTTAGATTATATTACCAGTATACAAAGTGATAAATCATTTTCATTACACAATGAATAAGAATAGTTCTTTAGTCCAGTATTGGCCCCAAATGCCCTGATATGGCCGAGAGTGGGGTGTACCCGCCCTTCCTCTCGAAATGCTCTCACATGGTCACGTGTATACAGCCTCTGCCACGGAAGTCCTACTCACTGCCTTCTCGTGGCGGGGGTGATGTTTACGAAAATGAGAGGACGAAATGTGAATGTCCGACGCTTTAACCCAATCCCAAACCAATGGTGCACATTAGTTGGCTCCAGTATCCTGCGGGAACAAATGGCGTATGAACCAATCGTTGGTCACCGGCTACCATGGGACTGCATCTCCTCACGATGCTCCACTGCCTTGTGGATCAGACCTTTAGGTCAAAGGCTCGGGGTGTGGTCCGCTAAGACAACCATTTGCTTCTGTCTCTGCACCCTGGCAGTATCACAGCCCTCACACAAATCGAATGATCTATGTGGCGCATATCCATTTGGTGCCTCACTGTATCAATGTTTTTGTGTTTAAATAAAAAATGTAATAAATTGGTACGTAATAAATGAACAACAAATTCTAAGTGAAGATGATTTACAAAGTCGTTAAAAGTATGAATTACATCAAATTTGAAACAAACATTTACGATGAGACTATAATTTATTGACGACCTTTGAACGACACTAAACTGACCTTGAGAGTGTCTACCTAATAACCAGGACCAAATGAGGGTTATGAACCAGTATGAGGAATTAGAATTAGATTTAAGGTTTTCATCACCAACTGATATCAACTATAATGCCAAATCTCTATTGATCTGAATGGATGAGTAAATTTCACGCGCCAAAATCCAAGACCTATTATCTTATACGTGATTGGTTCGTCTATTAATTGTAGTCTCACCACATTTACTCATTTAATACTTTAAACGTATAAGATAGAATCTCTATCAAGATAAATACAATCAAGCGATTATTTCTCATACATCTTTAAAACTTCAATCATTCTGACTGATTTGTATGAGATTACACATATCAAAACATTTTCCTTATTGAATTAATGATGCTTACAAATGCAAAAGAATCACGTTAGATGCCGTTACTGTTCTGCATTACAATATAGTATTCAGCTCGGAAAAGGTTAAGAAGTATGTTCGATACGCTTTTCTGGGCTATACGTCTGCTTTTGATTCTACCCAAGATAATTTTTACTTAACGAGTTAATCAGAGTCAACATTGACAGCTGGATAACCAACTGTTATGTTTTAACCTCTCTGGAAGAGAATAGTACACTGTGTTTGGAGGAAAGCGTTCAACATCTTTACTGTTACAATGAGCTGTTATTTTACCCCTTTTTTTCTTCATGATCAGCCATTTTTCACAAAAAATACTCTTGTGAAATGTACGGACAATCTCGCTGTATGTATACCGATTTCTACCTCTTTACATCCTATAGAAATGAGTGAGTTTTTGTTTCATATTATATGATGATCTGCTGTGAATGGTCTCATACTTAATCCGTCTAAATGTCAAGCTATTAACTTTAGTGTGAGACATGAACGGAATCTAAATACCATTATGAGATCCCATAATGCTTGTACCATTGGAGACTCTTTGATAAACACAGTGTCGAAGGTCAATTATCTTGGTGTCACCTTTTCCTCTGATCTCTCTTGGTCTTCCCACGTTTTATTGTTATCAAAGAAGGTTTTCCGTCTGACTTACTACATAAAGAGATTGCATGCTCTTGGAATTACTCGTCATTTACTCTTACAATTTGTCAATTATTGCATATTACCTATTATTCTTCTTCTTCACTGTTCTCCATTATTTTTTCCCGGGCTTTTGAGAAAAGACTTTGCTGTATTGCAGAGAGTGCTGAAGGCAGTTGGCAAGATGTGTGGTGAACCTTTTGAGGTCATAAATAATATGGTTGTGCATAGACATTTAAAATCATGCAAACTCCTGGCAGGTGTTATTTTATCAGATACTAGCCATCTTTCTCCTTGTATATTTTCTGGTAGAACGAGACGTAATTACATTAAAATACATACACTCAAGCAAATGTATTAAAGTTCTATAATACCTTACCTAGCAAATATACTCTGTGACGAACAGGTTGTTAGAATTAACCTAGTCAATAATCTGTATTCTTAAACATGTTTATGATTGAAAAATTGTACAGATTCAAACCTTTATTTTTCACCTTTTTCTTTTTTTTTATGAAAGAAACTGATGTATGGGTGAGAATGACAATGATTAGTTGTTTGCTTAGTCAGATATATAGTGATTGACTTCAAGAGATACTTCTGGAGTTCTAGTGAAAAGCCGTTAACAGTGCAATTCAGCCAGGTCTGTTGTGAGATATCAGCTCACTGAAGACAATGGTATACGGTGGCGCAACTTCGTGGATTGGTTGAAGTGAGACATTAACAGCACAGGATGTTGGCTCAGTGGTCTAGATGGTTAGGCGCTTGGCGCAGGCAGGGTAGGTCCTGGGTTCGAACGTCGTGGGTGCGCACTGCTGAGGAGTCCCGTACTAGGACGGGACGGCAGGCCAGTGCTTCCAGACTTCCTATGGTGGTCTAGATTCGATTGACTCATGGTTTTAATCTGTGAGATATGTAGATAGTCTGATAGGTGCTAGATGAGTTATATATTCCCTTATGCTTATAATTATTATGATTATTGATTGTTGTTGTGTTGTGTCGGGGTGTGGAAATATATATTTGCCTTCTAGTCAAACTTATCACATGTTCTTGATCTGAGTTATATTGAAGTTCTGTAGAATAGACACTGGGAAGGAATCTAGTGTAGATATTCGCTTAAGGTAAATGAACATCCCATACATGTAAACGTGGAAACCCAATCCTTATAACAGAAACTTGTTGAAATAATTCGTGCTGAAGATTCTATATAATATTGAATAATTTACTTTAGTTTAACACATAGATATTGGTCCAAGGAGGCACCAAATAAATATGCGCCACATAGATCATTCGATTTGTGTGAGGGCTGTGATACTGCCAGGGTGCAGAGACAGAAGCAAATGGTTGTCTTAGCGGACCACACCCCGAGCCTTTGACCTAAAGGTCTGATCCACAAGGCAGTGGAGCATCGTGAGGAGATGCAGTCCCATGGTAGCCGGTGACCAACGATTGGTTCATACGCCATTTGTTCCCGCAGGATACTGGAGCCAACTAATGTGCACCATTGGTTTGGGATTGGGTTAAAGCGTCGGACATTCACATTTCGTCCTCTCATTTTCGTAAACATCACCCCCGCCACGAGAAGGCAGTGAGTAGGACTTCCGTGGCAGAGGCTGCATACACGTGACCATGTGAGAGCATTTCGAGAGGAAGGGCGGGTACACCCCACTCTCGGCCATACAAGGGCATTTGAGGGCTATATTGAATAAAGCTATTAATAATAATAATAATAATAATAATAATAATAATAATAATAATAATAATAATAATAATAATCCATTAAACATAATCATCATATACCCAAATCTTCATTAACTTACACTGGATAATAGTTACATAGGATAATATTGCCTGAATTACTTTGCTTCTTACAGTCACCAATTGAACAAGCGATATTTCTCGTATCATAAATAACTAACTAAAAGTACAATTTTATTATAGAAATGACTTTAAATGATAAACAATATAACATGAGTTACAAATGAAATAAAACATAACTGATTGAATCATTCCAAGTTGAATACACAATAGTTAAGTGAAAATTGATTATAGATATAAAGTTTATAAAGATAAATGGGTAAATCTACAATTTATAGATGAACCAATCAGATTTATGAGAACAGATCTTAGATTTTTGGCGCGAAGTTCATTCATTCATTTGGCTGATATCAGTTCGTGATGGAAACTCCAAATCTAATCCCCGACCCTAACCATCAATTGTAAATTTTAATCCTTATTCTGTAAACTGCTATATAACCCTCATTTAACCTTTATAAGTAGGTAGACACTCAAGATCAGTTTAGCGTCGTTCACAGGTCGTTCATAAATTATAGTCTTACCACTAGATGAGTGATTTGAATTAATATGTGACGATTTAACACGTAGATAAGGAATGAATCGTTAAATTACTAAAGTCCATATTATGTCAACATTTCGGATTAGAATGCCCTCTTCATAGACACTCGACCAGTATTTTAGATAGTTTTGTAAGAAACATCTGGTGGCTATGAGATATTGATGAATGAAGCTGTTGATTGTTTTACATTGATCATTCGATAGGTATTTACGGTAATACTCGGAGATCGATTTTAAAAGAGCACAATTTATGTGACCGACTAACTTGTTCATGATGTACTGTCTATTCCATTTTATTATAAGTTCCGTAGTGAGTATCAACTCTGAGATGCAAGCAAATCAAACGGATTTTGATGGAGTTTTGTACTCTGAGCTGGATGGTTTGGTCGTGGAGTTTACATCATTCTTTCGAACGACATCATCAACACAAACTTCAGATAGAAATGAAGTTTTCGAATTTCTACATATGCGTTCCACAGCTTGGTCTGTATACCTCGATGTTGATTGGTTCTTATTGACCTTGTTGATTGCTGATTGACCTGAGTGCCAGGCAAACACATTGATATCGATCCAATTTATCAACCAATCACGAAAGTTATGCACAAATATAGGAACAAGAATCAAACCAATGGGGGACAACCAAAACAAAGAAGTAAACAATGACAAATTTAAGATCGATAAGAACCAATCAACAATGAGGTGCACAGAACAAGCTGTGAAACACATATAGAGAAATTCGAACACTTCACTTCTATCTGAAGTTTGTGCTGATGATGTCGTTCAGAAGAACGATGAAAGCTCCACGACTAAACCATTCAGCTCAGAGAACAAAACTCCATCAAAACCATCCACCTGAGCTACAAATTTTCTCCACCATCTCAAAATCAAACCGATAAATTCACTACCCCGTTTAAATTGTTAAATATTTATGAGTAAGAATTACATACCATTTACCTGTTTATAGGATGAACAATCATAAACAATGCAACTATAAGGATAATGTTTGGTTGACCATACTTTGAATATACTGAAATGAAAGAGTATGACAGTGATGATATAACTTCCTCAATGATCATACCTTTTAATATCTTTATTGTCAGAAATATTTACACTAAGTGTATTATTGAAATATTTTTTCGTTAAAGTAATACTTGGATTGCACTGTTTCACATAACGTTCCACATATTGTTGTAATGTATTATCCCGTTTCTACAAAATGGAATCAAAGTATCAGTTTACTGTTATAACTTATGCCCTGTGCTCCTTATCAATGTACAATTTAATGATACTGTGGTGCGTGCTACTTATATTGATATAAGTAGTATATAACGTGAGTCAAAAGAACGTAATGGCTGGGAGCAGAAGATGGAGAAGATCAAGAAAAGAAGAGCGAGAAAACAATGGAATTTGTAAGAAATCGCATGAGCAATGAAATGCGAGACAATGGATTGATGTTTGCAACAGCAACAGCCCGGTTTGATATGATAGAATGATATTTTGCAAATTAACGATTTACTATATGGTTTTTCTATTTTACCAAGTAATTCTGTAATTTGTCCTAAATACAATTTGGCTGTCCTCACCCGTGTTCTTCTTCACTACATTTGGTGTCGCTGTCTCCACTGAGGATGAAGATCCCATGGCCGAAGGAGTTTGAGGACGGAGATGTGCTGAGCTTCCTGAAGGAGTTTGAGGCCGTGGCGGAGCTGGTGGGAGTGAAGGAGCCGAAGGCGAAGTTGGTGGTGCTGGGGACGCTGCTGAGAGGCAGGGCGAAGGCGGTGTATGACAGCCTGGACGGTGCTGGCGGAAAGACCACATGGGAGGCAGTTACGGAGCGGTTGGCGGCGGAGTTTGACCGCCCAGTGGACAGAGAGGACGCGCTGCAGAAGTTCCGGTTGGCGAGGTTGCCGGTCGATGGGGACCCACTGGTGCTGGCTGTGGAGCTTACCAGATTGTTACGCCGTGCGCTGCCGAGTCTGGATGAGGAGTCGGAGGCACAGTTGTTGGCGTCACAGTTTATCGAGAGTGTGCCTGCCACCGTCTCCCAACAGCTGAAACTGGTGAACACAGCGCAACCGATGGACATCAGTGAACTGGCAAAGGTGACTCGTCAGCTGATGACGCGAACAGTAGCTCCGGTCGGGTGCGGAAAGCAGATGAGTAATGTCGAGAAGAAGATTGAGGAGCTGGAGCGCGAGATTGCAGCAATACGAGTGAACAATAAAAGGAACGATAAATGTTACGCTTGTGGAGGGACAGGACATTGGAAGATAAACTGTCCAACAAGACGAAGACGCAGATATGTTAGACGTTACAACGAGTGTTCTTTCTATCCTAGGAATCTGGGGATTGTTGCGTTAGTAGACAGAGGGGCAGTATATACGAGAGTGAACATAAATGAGCGAGATTTAGTTTGTCTGATCGATACAGGTGCAGCAGTATCGTTAATAGGCAAAGAGCAATGTAAGAGAATCAAGCCGTGTACATTAGCTGTCCACACGATAGGGGGCCATATGTTAGAGGTGTTTGGTGTATCTAACAGTATCGTAAAAGTGGGGGATGCGGAGATAAATTTTCCGTTCGTCGTAACCACAAGCTTATCGAGACCGATATTAGGAGCAGATTTCCTAAGAGAAGTAAAAGCGATAGTTGACTTAAGAAGCGGTAAGGTGGTCACGAAATATGGTTCATTGACAATACACGAAAGTAGCGAAGTGGCTGAAATAAGAGTTGCAGCGGATGTCTCGTCAAAGAAACCAAACATTCACGAGTTATGCAAAAAGTATGCGAAACTATTCACTGGAGATGGGGAGCCGTATGGATTTTGTGACAGAGTAAAGCACGAAATACCGATAAAGAACAGTCGAGTAAATATATTTGCAACACGTCGTGTCCCGGCGCATTTAGAGGCCGAGGTAAATCGTCAGGTCCAGGAAATGTTAAAAGAAGGTATAATTGAGGAAGCGGACAGCCCATATAGCTCACCGGTACTCTTGGTAAAGAAACCAAATGGAAAGTATAGATTTTGTGTCGACTTCAGAGAATTGAATAATATAACAGACCTGAAGCCTTGTGCAATGCCAACAGTGGTGGAAACATTAGATCGGCTACAGAATGCCACGGTGTTTACAGTGCTGGATTTACGGTCAGGTTATTGGCAACTGCCTATAAAAGAGAGTGATCGGAGCAAGACAGCGTTTACTGTACGGGATAAACAGTATCAATTTAAACGAATGCCGTTCGGGTTGGCGGGTGCACCGTTCACGTTCAGAAGATTAATGACACTACTGCTCAAGAATCTAGATAATGTCGAGGTATATGGCGACGACGTAGTTGTGTACAGTCAAACAGAAACAGATCACATCAAACATGTGGAAGCGGTCTTAAAGCGAATTGACGAATTTGGACTTCGGATTAATAAGGACAAGTCGCAGATAGCGAAAAGTAGCGTCACATTGTTGGGACATAAAGTGGGAAATGGAGAAATAAAACCATTGCCGGAGAAAATTCTTACCATAAAAAATATTGCAGTACCTAATTCGAAAAGGAAGTTGAGACAGTTCCTGGGAAGAGCGGCGTTCTACAGTCGGTTTGTCAAAAATTTCAACGAAATAGCAGCACCCTTATATAAGTTATTGAGCAGCACCAAGTTTACGTGGACTGAGACTGCCGAACAAACGTTCAACCGAATCAAAAACATGCTAGACGATCGCCAGATGACGCTTAGACTGCCTGAACCGGGAAGACTGTTTACAGTGGCCACAGACGGGAGTGATCATGGTATAGGTGCTGTGTTGAGTCAGGCTGATAGAGTGGTGGAATACGCGAGTCGTGTCCTCACACCTGCTGAACAGAAGTATTCAACCATCGAAAAGGAGTGTTTAGCGATCGTGTGGGCAGTGGAAAAATGGAGACCGTACCTTTTAGGTAGACGATTTCACATTGAGACGGACCATAAACCCCTGCAGTGGTTGAAAACAGCAAGAGACCCCCGAGGGAAGTTGGCGCGATGGATGATACGCCTGCAAGATTACGATTTCAGTATCGGCCATGTTTCAGGAAAAGAAAACGTAATGGCAGATTACTTGTCAAGACCAGACATGGAAGCCGACCTGCCATTAACAGCATACGCGGTGAATAGTTTAGAGGGAGACCCATTAGAACTCGTCCGGCAGCAGAAAGCTGACCCTAACCTTCGAGAGGTAATCAGAGTGATAAAAGTGGGAGCAGACGTAGATAAACGAACAATGGACAAGGAGGTAATAACGCTGCTTCGGCAAAAGGACCGACTGAGAGTGAACTCATATGGAGTGCTGACCTGGCAGGACGATGATGAAAATTGGGTGGCGGTGATCCCGAAAGACTGGCGGCGTAAAGTGATACACGAGTGTCACCAGGTAGCACATACAGGCATCGCAAGAACGACGGACTTAATACGACAAAGTGCATACTGGCCGAACATGAGAGACGATGTGGCTGAATACGTGTTAACCTGCCAGCAGTGTCAGCTAATGAAAAGCGATCGATAGACACAACCGCCATTACAGTCAATCCCAGTAACCGCAGTCGGTGATCTATGGTCGGTTGATGTGATGGGACCGTTTCCACAGACGGCGAGCGGTAACCAGTATCTGTTAATGATGACGGAACATGCCACACGTTGGGTAGATGCCGTACCCATTGCAGACCAGCGGGCAAGGACAGTGACCGAGGTGGTAATCCGGCATATTGTAGCGTGTCACGGAATACCGAAGATGATATTAACTGACCAGGGTCCCTGTTTTGAAAGTGACGAGTTTAAAGCCCGTTTAAAGCAGTTTGGCATCAAGAGAATACGAACTACACCATATCATCCTCAGACAAACGGGCTTACAGAGAGAAACAATCGGACGTTAAAGGAATGGTTAGCATCAAAAGGAGGAAATTGGGAGAAAGAGTTACCATTGATTTTGCTGGCACATCGTTCCTCAACACAAGGAACAACCAAGAAGTCACCTTTCTTGCTCATGTATGGCAGACAACCACGACTTCCAATGCATAATAAGACCTGGCCACAACAACAGAAGTGGACGACAACAAGGTTAAGAAAAGAGAGGAGAGAGGCAATAAGGAACGTGGAAAAGAAACAAATATCAGACACAAAGAAGGCAGAACAACAGAGGAGAACGTGGAAACCCTTTGCAGTGGGGGACCTAGTAAAGTGTAGAGAACGAAAAAGTAACGTAGCAGGGTCGGGGAAGCTGGCCCCAAAATGGGAAGGACCGTATGTAATCACGGAGAGACGCGGCTCGGTCTACACGATCCGGAGAGAAGACAAACAGAAGCGCGTAAATGCTAGTCAACTACAGAGATGGTTTCAAGATCATCATGGGTGTGAATCACGAAAAGCACCAAAGAACACAGCGGTACGGAGATCAGAAGACTACGACAGCAACTTGTTAAAAGGGGGGACGAGTGTGGTGCGTGCTACTTATATTGATATAAGTAGTATATAACGTGAGTCAAAAGAACGTAATGGCTGGGAGCAGAAGATGGAGAAGATCAAGAAAAGAAGAGCGAGAAAACAATGGAATTTGTAAGAAATCGCATGAGCAATGAAATGCGAGACAATGGATTGATGTTTGCAACAGCAACAGCCCGGTTTGATATGATAGAATGATATTTTGCAAATTAACGATTTACTATATGGTTTTTCTATTTTACCAAGTAATTCTGTAATTTGTCCTAAATACAATTTGGCTGTCCTCACCCGTGTTCTTCTTCACTACAATACCACCAATTAGAGAACAGTGAATTATCGACCGGACCAATGACGTGCGAAACCCGTAAGAGCAGTCTAAAGTTCTTGTCGGTCCTTCTTCCTGTGTAGCCCTTCTTATTGAGTCCAGAACACCAATCTCAGTCTCCGCGATAAGAATCATGTATTTCAAACATAGTGGGTTTATATACCAACCAAACAGACCACATCGTACCATAAAATAGGAAACATCATTTGTACAAGATCTGACCAAAAGTGGCTGTGAATGTGGGAGGTAGTAATTGATAGACAGGGAATAACTCAAGCATGGTAAAACGTATAATAATAGTCCATAGATCAAAATAAAGCTTATAATAGGAGGAACATGAATATTCATAGCTTAGTTACTTAACAATTATACAATACAAAATATACGTATAGTAATAGTCCAGAAATAGATTCCAACAGTCATAATTCATTATGCTTATCGGGATATAACATCAACATAACTGACAATATCAGAACCAGTGAAATAATGATATATAAATTAAATGACACAATAAAACGAAGCTATTAACAAGCTTTGTCAATCTTCCTCAACCATCTTCTCCAATTAAATCTTGTGTCCATCAGATGAATATAGGTTGTTTAGGCGAAATACTGACCACAATGTCTCGAGATTGAATCGATATGCAAATGAAGCAAAGTATTTAGCTGGGAAACTAGTATTATAAACGCTTACATTGAGTTCTTTGAGGTTTATAGAAATACAGAATACAGTATCTAATAGTATGATCAAAATCTGAAAAAAACCTGTCACGTTTAGTAGGCTTACTGATGGAAAACTGGATCAATAATCTAAAATTTAGTTATTCCAACTCAACCAGTGACGAACTTCCAATAACAATTCTACATATACGAATTTTTCTTAAAATTGGTTGTTAGTATGACGTTGTGAAGATTGTTAAATTTCATTGAAATCATAGACCGATCGGAGTTAAGGAAAACCCTTTGAAAGCCTAAAAATACTGAATGGTCCATTCGTTCTAGTATGAGATTTATCAATGTTGCTCATCCACAACCGAGAATCGAACCCATGAATTTCGGCCACGCGGTTGAACACGTAACGTGATCAATTAATGAGTTGAAATCAAATGATGTACAAGCCTAACTTCGATCAGTCCATGATATTGCCCGACCGTCTTAAAATCAATTGTTTTAACAGCAATCTTATAGATAAAATAATCTATAACTCATCGGATGTGTGAGAAATATAAAAGTATGTAAGAAAAGTGCTAATGCAATGATTTCACAATCTATTCCCATTTAATACGACTAACATATTTATATCACATTCACTCAGACTGATAACATGTCGATTTATATAGACATGAGATGTACGTTTGAGTATAATGAAAAGCGTTTAGTATCTAAATTATTGAAAATATACAGATGATATGTACAATCGTAAACTTGTGTTGGTTTTGCATCAACTTATTCAGAATGTATACCATTAATTGAATCGATTACTTTTCCTGAAGTGTCAACTACATCAATATTTATATGAGTGAATCTTTACAAAACTCCACCTAAAGTTCCTCTTGGGCTTCTGCCGGTCCAAACCTCGGATAAAGGAGGGGGGTTGGGCATGAAGTTAGCGAATTCATCCCGTAGAAAACTAACTCGCAAATAAAACACTGATTAGAAAAAATAATTCAAACCATTTGAACTTTGTTCTGGGAGTTAGAAAGTATTCATTTAGAATAGTTATGACGAGTCATGATGAAAGCCGAGTTCCTTTGGAAGTCACGAGGCTGATGCCTCTTTTGACAACTAGAGCAATGATTAGTTTAGTTACATGGAATGCTCGTACAATGTAGGAGACCGGGAGAGTCATCCAAATTGCAGCAGAATCTTTACATCCGATTGAATGACAATAGATGTTCATGGTTTACTGTCATTGAGGAAAAAATACTTTCCCGTTCATCACATATTTCACTTTCGTCAATAACACAATGAGAAATTATTCTTTTATAAAGCAGATTAATGAAAACATGAAAATTATCTAGTAATTAGAATGCTTTTAATGATACAGTTTCTGATCAATTTGAATAGTCACTACTGTTCATTATGAAACTGGAAGAAAGAATAAATATACTGACTTTCCAAAAATATCTATTCTAAACTGTCTTTTATGAATCATAATGGAACGTATTTTGTAGTAAACGAGAACACAAGTGGAGGACAACGGAATATATTTGAACACACGAAATTGCAGAACGTCTTAGTAAAATCTGAGCACCACCGAGTTTCGCGGGGTGGGATCGTATATGCGCACTGATCAGGAGTCTTATATTAGGGTGAAACGGCCGTCCAGTGCTTCCAGATTTTCCATGTTCGTTTAGCTTCAATTGACTCTTGAATTTAATTATTAAATTACATACAGTAAATACTTAATTTGCAAAATATTATTCAATTCTCTCAAACTTGACTGTTTCTTTTGAAAATATCAGTCAGTCGTCTCAGACTTCATTGTTCCTACATGTCCATGCCAATTTTTTTCTGTTCTTGTTATTTCCTTTTCTCTGTATTTGACTTTCTGCTGCCAGACATTCTATTCCTGACCAGCGTTATAAACTACTTATATTGATATAAGTAGAACATACCACAGTATGATGGCCGATATATTGCTCGAATCTAATGATCTCCACTTATTCAGACATTAAATATCAAGTGCAGTTATAATGCGAACATTTATAACGGTGCATATAGGAGAGTAAATGTTCGACAATCATATCAACGATAGTGTTTTACCATTGAATCACTGAAACTCTATTACAAAAATAGGTATTAGCATTAATGAAGACAAATGATACCCTAGTCCTATTTAATATGTAGAGAAAGCGATTGGTGTAATGGAAACAATTATTATTATAACCACTTGTACCACGGATTGTTTTACCGTACTTGTTTGTTTAACTGTACCAAAACACATACATTCCTCCATTGCTTGTGACCTTGCACAAATTCAGTTACACTCAGTAACCACACTTGTAACCTTGCACGATCTCGTTATTCCTTCAATACCACGAGATCGCCAACAAATAAATCTCAACTACAGCCATCAACTGCCTTCTGATATTTGGCTTACGAGAGATCTTATCGGTTAACTGGCACGTAGTCTTCTTGTAGTAGTAATCATAGTCAACCATGACTCGACGCTACCCTACAAATATATCACTCAAATAATGATTATACTAATGATCTTTATTCATTCATAAGTGAGTAATTCTCTCATTAAACTTACATGTTTCAATAGAGGTTGTTCAAAACCTCTAAAATCATGATTATCATCTTTAAGTTTATGATTTCTTCCATGGAGATTGAATTGTTCCTTGGTCGTTTGACATTTACATAATCCATAATACTCTAACATAATGAATATCAAATAATGAAATACATTCAACTTCATAATAATAAAATGAGTTTTGAATTAAATTTCAATGATAATAATGAGAATATGTGTGTATTTATATACAAACAATTTAGGTGTTACCTTTCATAGTTGTAAATGATTTCTATTACTAACAACATCAAACTCTTGTTTGTTTGTTTTTTCACTGAGAAAATCGAATATTAATTCGTTCAGTAGTAAACATTATTGATTACAAAAAAAACAAATTAGTTACTAAGTCGAAACATTGAGTAAAGAAGCAGGTAATTTACAACTAGATGTTTACAAAGATAGAATACGAATAAAGTATATTATACTCATTATCAGAAGGGGGTTTTGTGAAGATTTTAGTAATTCTATGGTTGAACTTGTAGTGTCAGTTATTATGTTAAGCCCATTTACTTTATTCTAACTTTCAGACAGCTCAATCTATTCATTTTACTTGAGTCATATTTTGACCTTGTTAATTATTCGCTTATCAATCTTGATTGTTCTTATATGAGCGTATATGTGTGTACACTTCATATTCCATGTTTCATCACATGTCTTTAGTTTATTTTGTCTGCCTATAAATATTGAGTAACGCCTGGCTAAAAAAAGGAGTTGGCTTACCAGCCATCTCCCTTGCGCGTCGTTTCTCTTCTCTCTATACCATTCGCTTCATATACAAAATATTTGTATTAAAAAGTCCATTCTCGTTATTTGACTTATCTAAATCCCTTATTGACTGACGCAATTAAAGTCGATGATTACATACGAGAATAGGCGATAACAAACATTCGTACGATCTAAATGGAGTCAGATCCACGGGCCACTAAAAACTCATGGGTCATTTGATGTTAGACCATCATGAAAAACTTGGAAACACTGGACGACCGTTTCGTTCTAGTAATGGGACTCCTTAGCAGTGAGCACCTACGATCCAGGTCAAGGGTTCATATCTCGTGGAGCACTTGATTTGTAGTGACCCACATTTATCACGAGAACACGACTGGTTTAATAAAAACAATTATTATTATAACCAACTGTACCAGTGTTCGTTTTAACGTGCTTTTGTTTGACTGTGCTAATGACAGCTATTTTGTGCTTCCATTCTTATACTTACACTTTGATTGTAACTTCACGCGAATTCGGTTACGTTCTGTAACCAAGCTTGTATCCTGGCACGATCTCGGTATCCTTTCGATACCACGAGATCGCCAGCAAATATATTATCTCGACTTGGTCCATTAATTGTTTTCTGATATTTGACTTCTCGGGGATTTTATGGATTAATTTGGTTACGTTCGACCTTCGCCTTCTGATTTATTTGGCACGTGTTTCTTGGTAGCGGTGTCCATAATTAACCTCGACTCGACGCCACGCTACAGATTAACACATAATTTATGGACGGCTAAACATATCATGAACCCTTAAACAGAACACATATGAGAGGACAATTAGCATTTTACACGAAAGTCGAAAAGGAATTATGTAACAATAGTAGACAACCGACAAACTAACTGATTCGAACTAAAAGAACTTCCAAAGTTTATATATATATATATATATATATATATATATATATATATATATATATATATATATATATATATATATATATATATGAGACAGAAGGAAACATCTTTGACAAATCCATGGTAAATGTTGTCTAAAGAACTCGCTCTTTTAAAGGCAGTCATCCTACTCATCGATACAACTGTAGTGACCTGCTTTTATCAAGAGAACGCGATTGGTATAATGGAAACAATTTTTATTATAACCAATTGTACCAGTGATTGTTTTACTGTACCTGTTTGTTTAAGTGTAATAAAAACACACATTCTTCCGTTAACTGTAACCTTGCATGAACTCGCGTACGCTTAGTAGTCCCGTTTGTAAACTTTGACACGATCTCGGTATTATTCCGGTACCACGAGATTGCCAACAAATACATCTTACTACAATCTTGAATTACCTTGTAGGGTCAGTTATTATATTAAGCCCATATACCTTATTCTAGCTTTCGGACATCCCATTCTATTCATTCTACTTGAGCCATACTTTAACCTTGTTATTTATTCGCTTATCAATCTAGACTGTTTTTATATGAGCGTATATGTGTGTGCCCTTCTTATCCCATCAATCACATGTCTGTAGCTTATTTTTGTCTGACTATAATTATTGAGTAACGCTTGATTAAATTGAAGTTGGCTTCCCAGCCATCTTCCCTGCTTGTCATTTTGCTCTGCTCTGTTTCATTCGCTTCATATACTTTTCACGCACTAGTCCTCCTACAGATGTTTACAAATCTGAGAATGCACTATTTCAAGCACTCAGTTGAATGTAACTGAATTTTCTCACAGTGTTTCATATCTCAAACAATTCAGTTTTCTTTGCTCCTATCAGTGAAACAACACAGCAAATATGAATTACCCCACATTTTCTCGTTTTGTGAGAATAAGTGTGAGGAGTTGAGAGTAAGAGAATGTGAGCACTTGGATACCCATTCAACATCTGTTTATTTAAAAAGTTAATTTATCGTGGTAAACGTGATCGATGATGAAACTGAATGGAAGATGTAAATGTGAGTGACCTGACCAGGAAACTGTGCAACATTTTGTGCATGGGAGTTTCATGTGAACAAATGATACATAGATGTGTCTTATTGGTTAACTGAGATTCATCAGGACGAGTACATGGAACGAGCAACGGCCCAGTAGCTACTTAATTGGTCAAGACTATAAGCACAACTACAACCCAGATCTTTAAATACAGTCGTGTACGCTGAATGTCCAACTCAATATATCAATCATGTACTCTGTCTATACGGGAAAACGTCTGTTGACATAACCTGCGACAAGAAAATTAATTTTCTCAAACAGATCATTTAGAATTTGAGTCCGCTCACCTCTGTTTCTCTGATTTGATGAGCAGTTCGTGGAGTTGCAGAAGGTCTACACTAATGATTGGTATAGAAACGTCTGCCACGACGGAACTCGATGAGGTTCATCGGTAGATTTGCTGTCGCCTACATACATACATTCATATATACATACATACATATATACATACATGCATACATACATACATACATACATACATACATACATACATACATACATACATACATACATACATACATACATACATACATACATACATACATACATACATACATACATACATACATACATACATACATACATACATACATACATACATACATACATACATACATACATACTACATACATACATAAATACATACATACTAGGCATAAAGGAACTGTTGAACTCGTGCTGTTATGCCTTAACTTCTTCACAACAGAATCAGACTTCAGAATGGCATGAGATTGCAAGGTTAGGAGCATGAGAGAATTGAATTGTAACAGTTTGGTTGCGTATCCCAGAAAAATAAGGATAAGATGTGTAAATATGCGGGAAAATCTGAGGACACGAAAGTGATATAGTAATGTATAAACGACATATGTATGGTGTTATAGAAAGGAACAGGCTCATAGTTTACCGTTTGGTGTGTCAGATCACTTCAGACTCACCATCGAAAATTTATTATTCAATGTCTTTGTCACAAACTAGTATAAACGGATTACTTTTTCCCGCTCGCTTCTCATTATGAAAGTACAGTTCCGGGTATTTTGTTGTGTTCAATGAGTGGTAGTCTAGCCACTTTAATGCACTAATCCTAGTTATTTTGGAATTTATTTATGGATTTATATATCTTGCAGTTGAATGAGCGTGTTTGCTTCAGAAAAGTAGGATTTCTGGATACTATAATCCATCGAATTTCCAAGCAGGAGGTTGATTGATTGCAATGTGAACAATAATAAATAGAAAACTTTGAATTCTAAGAAAACAAATTTCGTGCTAGTAACTGAGAAGTTACCGTACACTCCTATGAAGTACATTGTGGCGTAGTCATGGAAGCCCCTCAGAATGTTTCTGTCACCTTGGTAATTCGTCATCCTTGATTTCGGTGGATAGCACATGTTACTGACTTCTAGATTACGCCTTATTATTAACACACTGCTATAGAGACATTTGTTGGTAAGTTTGATCATTTGGTTCTCATTAACGGAGTCACCCATCTTCGACATTTTAGGCAGATATTAGTCCACAATTTGGTTCTTGCTTCCGAACGATTTGCCTTTACGGAGTATCCCCTGGCAGGATTACTGTAACTGTGTCCTTCATAATAGATTGTTGACTGAGGTCAGCTGACATCAAGGTGTGTGTTTGGGCTTTCCTACTGTTGTCCTACCAATCTAGGTGGGTTTTCCTATCAGATGTGACTGAAAATGCCACTTATATTCCGTGATTGACTGGGCCGTTGTCCGTTATGCACTCTTAATTGGAAATCCTTAACCCATTTAAAACAGAAGTCAGGAATGAGGGCGTCGAATATATGTTTGGAAATATATCAATTTGTTGAGGAGTAATTGGGCTGAGGTGACTGGCTGTTGTGAGGGATGTATGGCATGTCCTTTCAAACGATGATCTGTTGAGGATGCCTGACCAAGCGCCATCAGCTACGGTATGTCCGGTAAAACTAATAAATTCTGCATCGTTGTTGACGGCATACAAAATTATTTATTTTGATGACTCATTCAACTCAAGGAAAACTCACAAGAGAAAATAATCTATAATTCAGGTTCGGTTCTAGACTGGTGCTTTAGAGTCAGAAGGCCCACGTCCTGTATTAGTCCTTCTCTTGCAGGTTTTTGAGTGTCAAGTGTTCTCCTGAATGAGTCAGTTGATGATCCGGACACCATTGCGTCGGGTATCAGTATCCAATGGTTGATGACTCGCTGTGAAAACCTGAATATCAAGAATATTTTGTTCGTTATTGGCTTTCGTACATGCCTGTTATGTCCACTGAGTTGTTCTGATCTAAATTGAACGAACAGTGAAGATATAATATGTTCATAATCAATTCTTATTATTCTGTGCATCAAGATCAAATTACTTCCCACTCCATGGCAA